TTTATTAAGATTTACTAGTATTTTATTTGGATTTAATAGGATTTAATGGTATGTTACTTGGATTTAATAAGATTTACTGGTATGTTACTTGGTTTTAATAGGATTTAACGGTATGTTATTTGAATTTAATAGGATTTAATAGTATGTTATTTGGATTTCATAGGACTTCAGGGTATTTTACTTGGGTTTAATAGGGTTTCGCTGTATGTTATTTGGATTTGATAGGATTTAACTGCGTTTTATTTGGGTTTAATAGGATTTCATGGTATGTTACTTGGATTTAATAGGATGTAATGGTATGTTACTTGGATGTTATAGGATTTAATGGTATGTTGTTTGGATTTAGTAGGATTTCATGGTATTTTACTTGGTTTAATAGGATTTAATTGTATTTTACTTGGATTTAAGAGGATTTCATGGTATGTTATTTGGATTTAATAGGATTATATAGTTTTTTACGTGAATTTTATAGGGTTTTATGGTATGTTGCCTGGATTTAAGAAGATTTTATGGCATGTTATTTGGATTTAATAGGATTTCATTGTATTTTACTTGATTTAATGGGATTTAATTGTATATATATATTATAGTTAATAGGATCTAATATTTTTTTACTTGGAATTAATAGGGTTTAATGGTAAATTATTTGGATTCAATAGGATTTACTGGTATTCTACTTGGATTTGAAAGGATTTAATGATATTATTTGGATTTAATTGTTTCAGTCTTGATTTAATGGGATTTAATGGTATTTTACTTGGATTTAATAGGATTTCATGGTATGTTTTTTGGATTTTTATAGGATGTCATGGTATTTTATTTGGATTTAATAGGATTTCATGGTATTTTACTGGATTTTAGAACATTTCATGATATGTTATTAAGATTTAACTGGATTTAATGGTACTTGGATTTAATATGATTTAATGGTATTTTGCTTGGATTTGACAGGGCTTACTGTAATGATATTATGCTTGGGTTTAATAGGATTTAATGGTATGTTACTTTGGAAATAAAAGGATTTAATGGTCTGTTACTTGGATTTCGTACGATGTAATGGTATGTTACTTGGATGTTAAAGGATTTAATGGTATGTTATTTGTAATTAATAGGATTTCATGGTATCTTACTTTGGTTTAATAGGGTTTAATGGTATTTTACTTGGGTTTAAACAGATTTAATCGTATTTTACCTGGATTTAATTGGATTTAATTCTACTTGGATTTAGTAAGATTCTATTTGGATTTAAGAAGATTTCATGGTATTTTAATTGGATTTAATTGGATTTAAGGGTAGTGTACTTGGATTCAATTGTAATTTACTTAAATTTAATAGGATTTAATAGGATTTCATGGTATTTTATTTGGATTTATGGAATATGATTTACTTGTATTCAACTTGGATTTAATATGATTTAATGGTATTTTATTTAGATTTAATAGGATTTAATGGTATGTTACTTGCATTTAATAGGATTTAACGGTACTTTATTTGGATTTAATAGGAATTAATAGTTTTTTACTTGGATTTAATTGTATTTTAGTTGGATTTTATAGGATTAATACGATTTAATTGATTTTACTCGGATTTAAGTGTATTTTACTTGGATTTAATAGGATTTAATGTTATTTTGCTTGGCGTTAATAGGATTTAATGTTATTTTACTTGGATTTAATTGGATTTAATGGTAGTGTACTTGGATTCAATTGTATTTGGCTTAAATTTATATAAAAGGATTTAATGGTAGTGCACTTGGATTTAAAATGATTTTATGGTATGTTATTTAGATTTATATAATATGATTTAATTGTGCTTTACCCGGATTTTAAAATGATTTAATGATATTTTATTTAGGTTTAATAGGATTCAGTTGTATTTTACTTGGACTTAAAAGGATTTGACTGCATTTTACTTGGATGTAATAGGATTTAATAGGATTTACTTGCATTTTACTTGGGTTTAATTGTAGTTTACTTTGATTTAATAGGATTTAATACGATTTAATTGTATTTTACTTGGATTTAATTGTATTTTACTTGGGTTTAATAGGAGTTAATGGTATTTTAGTTGGACTTAAAATAATTTAATGATATTTTTTTTCTAACGTGGATTTAAAAGGATTTACTGGTATTTTACTTTGATTTAATAGAAATTAAGTTTTTTCACTTGGATTTAATAGGATTTCATGGTATGTTATTTGGATTTAATAGGATTTAATTGGGGATGGGTCAAAACCCTGGTACCTAGTGAACCCCAAAATAGCTGGTAAATGGATGTTCATCCCACTAAAAATGTATCTATAGGTATTGACCCATACCCAATTCGATTTGATGGTATCTTACTGGGATTTCATGGGGTTTAATTAATGTTCAGATATAGTATTGGATACGATATATCAGAGAGGTAGTAAACCAGCACCAAGCTTAAGATTCAATATTCTACCGAACGACCGTCAGGTATGTATAAATATATATGTATATATATAAACTACATGTACATTTATGTGTGTACATGTGCCGTTTGAGGTGTAAAAAGACCCAGGATAAAAAAACGTTCAGATCAAGGCAACAATGATTTCAAAGTATACATTCATGTGGAGGTGTCCTAAAGCGGTGGTAATTGCCAAATCATCAAAAAAAACCTATTTTTGTATTGAAACCCATGGTGACTTTGGGCTTTGGGATCCTGTATTTCAAGGAACCCCCATGTAATAAGTTTTTTTCAGGGTTACCATAGATTGCCTGTGCTCCTCATGGTGACTCATGCTAGGATTGTCATCCAAGCGCCATCCGCAAAAATGTGTTTATAAGGTGGTAATCCCAACAATATAGCAATGTTAACGTTTTACTATACCGGGGACGTGTATCTATATGATTCTATATGTATAGTGGGATATAGTAACTATAACCTTAACAGGATCATTTCAGGGTGATTGGGTTGGGATTGATTTTTCCTGATGAATGGACAAATGCTCATGTGAGATCCCCATGGTAGCCCACCGTATTACAAGCCATGGGGCACCTTTGTCGCGCAGAAAAATATCCCTCATTTATGCGGTGCCAATGCGAGGTTGGGTGTTTTTTGTTCGCATAACTATCTCCCTGATCGTCCACCTATGGTATGTTATGTCTGCATATATTTAAATATACATAATGTATGTTATATATATATATATGATATATTTATACATCTACTATTTATGGTCTGTGTAGGCATATGTGAATTGGCTGTTTTTCAATGTAAGGTACATGCAGTCAGCTCACCATGTGGCTAAGAATCCCCATGAAAATCACCGCCGCCTTCATGAAGTACGCCAACATTTTGGGATGTATGCGTTTGCTTAAAATTTGTTTGTGTTTTGCATTTAACGCAACTGATTTCAGAAAATATCCAGCTCTGAAGTTACATTTCTTTCTCACATCGTGTTTCAAAATTATGCCTCAAAAACAAACTCGGAAGAGGTGTGGTCCAGAAACAAGCCGACACCTAAATACAAAGCCACCTGAATAAAGCACCTCAATCTTGGGAACCTTCCTGGCGATCCAAGAGAAATTCAGTTCGAATTAAGATTCAAGCTAGTTTAGATTCCACGTCAACGTCAAGTATTAGAGTCGAGTCAAAATTAACTTCAGTTTCCATTATACGGCCAGCGCTTGTGCTGTGCCCGTAACGTCTTTCGGGATCTTTGTCGGAAACCTCATTTTTGCTGACCCTTTTACACTACTTTGCGGCCTTCCACTATGTTGAGACGTTGTAACATGAAGTCCCTCACATGGCTTCATGAGGGACGTGGTTGATGATCCTCTGCGGGGTTTCGGCTGTACAACAATCGCTGTTTTCAACACTTTTTACATGAACCCTAGAGAAAACCTAGAAAAGCCGTAGGAAAAAATCTAAATTAACCCTAAAGAAACCCTAAATGAACCCTAAAGAAACCCTGAAGAAACCCTGAAAAGACCATATGAAAGTGATTGAAAGTGTATATAGTGAAGTACCTGGCGGGCGTAGCGCAAGTGCTGCGGGCAATTATAGTACTTCAAATCGATATTTAATCCAAAAACAAAACAAGCCAAGTTGCTTCCAAATTACGGTGAGCCTGCTCAAATTCATATCAAACATCATCAAACCGAATCAAATTCAGAATCCAATTCAAAATTGCAATCCAAAGCTACACATTTCAAATCCCTTCCATCTGAACCTCAACCAGCTTTCAATGAATAGATTTCTCAATTGGAAAGCTTCACCTGACATGCTGGGGGTAAATGTTATTCAAATGGCAAGAATGAAAAGGGGAGGGGGGCTATTCTGACATGTTGGCAGTATATGTATATTCATACATTTAAAATGTATATCTGTATGTACATATCTGTGTACGTATACATGTACATGCAAATCTGTGTAAATATGAATGTTTTTGCATATGTATATAATATATATATATATAAATATAATATTACAAACATACATTTACACAGACATACAGATACAGACCGACATTTACCCCGAAAGTCACAGCCCGGTGAACCTTGGAAGCCAAGCACTTCCCAGTGGCGGCCAATCGTTGGGCACACCTGCGCTGACAGCTGACATCCCAAATCCATTGGGCTACAAGAAATTGTGACTGAGTTGTACTTTGGAGATATTATACATGTACATACTGTATATGTGTATACATTAAATTACATAAATATATAATATATGTACTGTTCCTGTTGCTGTCCTTAACAAACAAAACGGTCTTTCAATAGGCAAAAGTGAGGATATTGCCTCTTGCACGGCTGGCTTTCTAGACTAGGAGGTTCAGAAATGTTCCAAGAGTTACAATACTGTCGCAACCACCTTGCTTGGGCAATACCAAATATCTAGATGACTACCATGAATTCATGATGAGAGTGCTATGAAGGTTCATCATAGTTTCGTCCAGTTTGGGGCATCCCAATCCTTCGAACCCAACGGGTCCCTTTTCACGCCACACTGCACAGCTCTGCGACCTTTGCTCCTTAGCTCCCGCTGTCATCGGAGTCAGCTGCAGCGGACTCGCTTTCCACGTCTGGTTCACGTCGGACGCATACCTGCAGCACGCGGTATGCCCCACAAACAAGTGGGGTGCAGACCAAGAACTATAGATGGATTGAGATTTGCACTGAAAGAAATACATCTTATGTACACATATTTTCAAACAACAAAACAAAGCTTTAGCTCCGCATTTTACAAACATTTCCCCCCAAACCCGTCCACAAAAAAAGTTCCCTTCATCTGGCTAAATTACACTAATTCACAAACCTGAATCAACGGCCATGGCCATTTTGTGATGCCCCAATCCTAACCATCATTCCACAACACAAAATTGTGAGGTCCCTCTAATTTATCTGAATACAAATCTTCAAGATACTTCAAGCAATTCCCCAAAAAAAAGTACGCATATACTAACATCTAAAGCTGCATTTTGCAGTGTGCTTATCTTGACACAAATCCTAACATATTTATTGAGATATCCAGTGGCAAAGATCAGGGCTAAATTTGGGCATTTTGTCTCGCATATTTCTGATTCTGACATTTGTGATGGTTTGCTCTGATCGGCCCTGCAATTTTGGTGACATTCTACTTGCTATCTTTTTCAAACAAATATTCTGCCATATTTTGACATTGACATACATTGACAGATATTCTGACATGTTCTCTAGGGGTATATTCTGTATTTTGCCCCACATATGCTCTGGCATTTTATCTGATGTGTTTTTCTGACGTATGCAATGCGGTACGTTCCGACATGTGGCGTCTGACAAAAAACTCTGGCATAATATCTGGCAATTCATCTGACACCTGTTGGCACATTATCTGCGATATTTTCAGACGCCATTTCAAACGCAGATCCTGGCATTTTATGTGGCAAAAAATCTGACACAGTCTTTGCCAGAAAACATGACAGTTGACCTATCCATTCAGTCAAACATATGCATATAATACATATATATATATATGTGGTCACCGCCCTCACATGGACCTACCCCAAGGTCCATTGAGGGATATTGTCACTATAACTTTTAGATATGCTAATATGTACATGTGTCAAAAACTATGCAAATACCATGGAAAATAACAATATGTACATTAAAATATAATCACAATAATATGCAAGTTAAACTGAATGTTCCAAAAACAAAGGCCAAATTTTGGCCTCCACTTCAAGACATTCATTGTCATGGCAACCATCTGTCCTTTGGGAAGGCCCATAGGCTGGAAAAACACACAAAAAAAAAATATTTTGAAATTTTTTGGGGAGAACCCCATGAAGAAAACCAAAATAAACATGGGAAAACCACCACAAAAAAAAAAAAAAAACCTATATTTGGAGACTCTTTGGGGAGAGCCCTATCCAGAAGAACAAAAAATGGAAGAACCGAAAAAATATTGCAAAAAAAAAATCGTGGTTGGAGTGGTTCGGCGCGTTCTCCCAAAAAAACCTTTGAAAACCAAAAAAAAAATTGGAGGCTCTTTGGGGAGGGCCCCATGGAGAAAACAAAAAAAAATTGGAGAAACCAAAAAACGTTGGAAAAATATATTCTGAGACTATTGGCTTACCCTCCCCAAGACTTCTGTTTTTTTTGCTTTGGTTTTTGTTTTTTCCGGATTTGTTTGTTTTGTCTCTATGGGGCCCTCCCCAAAGAGTCTCAAAATATTCGTTGTTTTTCGAATGTTTTTTCGTTTTTCGCCTGAGGAAAACGCGCCTAACCACTTCAACCGCGAAGATCGCAGTCGTTCTCCTCTACTGGGAACTCCTATGTCTGCGCTTCCTCCTGGTCCTCGCACTCCTCCGGGAGCACCTCCCCTGACACCTGATACTATGAATATGGTGCCGGTCACTCCTCCAGAACTGCTAGGCTCTCCACCGCGCACCCCGGAGTCGCAGTAGAGAAGATAGACCAGGATGTAAGACATCAGTGAATGATACCAAAGTGATACTCATAAATATAAATACGTGTTTATACTTTATTATCAATATTAAAGTATATATTTCTCATCTGTATTGATACTTCAATCACAATCATTCATGCTAATGCCGTCCATAGCGTCGAGGCAGTTTTTGCTGGAGACATACTATGTTCATGTATGTTTCAACAGTCTGGTTCATAAAAAGAAACAGCAGAAGAGCAATGGCAAGACAAATTGTGTCAGCTCCTGATGGCTAGAAAGTCATCGTGAAGGCCGACACTTAGATCAGATAGACTATGTGCATGTATGTTTTGCGAGGGTGGCAAAAACGTAGGTCCACATATATATATATGAGTTCAGCCAAATCTCCAAGGTATGTTCTGACATCTTATTCCATGATGTATGCATATATTTGGAGCGAGATTCTAGGAAGTTGTTTATCAGTGCGTTTTGGTTTTTTATGTCTTTCATGGGGGCATTCCAATATATAATCAGGTTCTCAGATTGTATCACCAATGATCACCACCCAAGCAGTACACCTGCAAGATCGCAAGTTCGTCCTAGTTAATAGCATATGTAAATATAAAAAGTGATATGTAAGCTGTGGAAACCACAAACAGGAAAGCGTTCCACAAGTCTGGAGGGCCAGATACTCTCAGAGCATCCAGAACATTGTTCCCTCTACTGAAGAAGATCTGAAGGACTGTGAGGCCAAGGGGAAGACTTGCAAGGCCTCTAATACCTAAGAATGCAAAGAACACTGTGGGCACCGAGCAAATATCTCCAATGAGTAGCCAGGTGCGGGCTGCAGCACCGACGCTGAACTTGCGCAGGAAAATGGCAAGAAGCATTATGCACAGATACACCCAGAAAAGCACTGCTAGGAACTTGCTCATGATCTTCAGAATGTAGCGCTGCTCGTCCCAGTGACTTCGACAGAGCGAAAGCAACAGAATCAACCTTGACAGCACAGATATACCCACCAGAGTGCCGCGGTAAGCAGGCTCACCTGCGTTCACTCCTTGAAGAAGATTCGCTGCGAAGCCTGCAAAGGCCACAGGACCAAGCAGGAACACAGCCGCTGTGATCTCTGAAAATGCCGCATGTTCAATCCGCACCGTACGCGCAATATCTCTCAATGCTGGAGTTGACATGCCGGCAGTGAGCAAGACGTGAATGGCATGGTCAACACAAGGCACCTGGTCGGCAATCTCTCTGCGGATGCTTGTAGCATCTGTTTCTTGCGAACATGTTGCATGCTCGATGGAGCCTGAGACAGGGTTGGTGCAGTCCCTTTCTCCAAGAGGGCCAGGGCCTTCAACATTGGGTAGTTTCTCAAGTTAAAAAACGCAAGGCTGTTTGGTGTCTACATGTGTGCCAACCAATCCCAAGCATATTGGTCAATCATCCTTCGTAGGATGGAACATGTACAATCTGTATTGAAAAAAATGTGCCCAAACAGACCCAAAGCAATTCCCGCATGTTTTTCTGGTCTATCTCTTGGATGACTAGACTTGAAACATGTTGGAACCAGTTGGGGAAAAACCTCGCCTTGGTATCCCTGCTGAAGCTCCTTTGCTTCTAACACAGTGGACGTCGCCTGGATTCGATCCACCTCCATAAAGCAGAAGGCGAGCGAAATATTGAGCCAGTAGCACACATGCAAGGCGTAGTTCACTTCAAGAGAGACACCTTCCTGACAAGTGTAGTGACATGTCAACACATGTCTGATGTACTTATCCGTCAAACAACGGGCAAAGTTTTGTCACGAACCATGTTTGAATATTCAAGAACTGTTGGACAGTAATATTCCCAACCAACAGAATCCGACAATGACTTCACATCGATCAGCATTTCAGCATTTCCCTGCCGTCCCTGCCTCATTTTTGACAACCCAGCCGGCCATATGTATCATTTGAACCCAGCACAGCATCTGGCCCAGCAGATGCATCATCCTTCGACAGTTTTCATCCTGCACCACCAGGCTCACGGCCACCAGCAGAATGGCCAGTACCGAACCGCCATAAGGCCCCCCTACTCGAAGAAAGGCAGAAGCAAAGCCCAAGGCTACGCCCAGCACGGCAGCCGTTGCCATCAAAGGTAAGGCTGCCAAGATCTCTGGGAAATGGGAGGAGTGGGCGATCAGAATGGTTTTACCCTCTTCTTGGGCCAGATAAGCCTCATATGCACACCTCAGCTGGACGATTCGGGGGGATGCCCTGATAGCTGGAAATAATAAATAGTTGATCTTTAACTCCACATCATGCCCAGTCGGCAAACAATCAAATTCCAGTGTGCTATCTTGTGTTGTGGCATCTTGAATCTTGTCCAAGCCAGCTTCCGGGTGAAAACCTGAAAACGATGGCTCTGCATCAGCCAGACACCACAGCCGCGTGTAGACACTTTGATGTCGGTTTGGGACCACCAACATGACTTTAGAGGCGCGCAACGCCACTGCGAAGGGCGAACTAGTGGGGGACTCCAAAAACGATGAGATGTTCAAGTTCTGCGGATTCGCCAACATGCAGCACCAAGCAGTTCGCAACCCCCAGGGCCAGCTGTACGTCACCTTGCTCAGAAATTCAAAGAAACCTCAGTGGTAAGCTGAGTAACCTTGCAAACACTGGTTGATTCGTAGGGATTTTTCATGGACTCCAAGGACCCCGTTTGGGCCGGAAAAAAAAAGATATGAAATTGCGAAACTACCAGGTCATCAGAATCATGACATACAACAAACCACTAGTTTTCAGCACCTCGCGCCTTCTTGCCAGGCATGGCTGATGAACAGGTCGCAGTCCAAACCATCTGGATGTTGCATCAAGGCCCAGCTAACCTTGCCCGCTTGCAGCGTCACGGGTTTGATGTATTGTTCCTGGTTTCTGCTTTTCACCGTCACTCTGAACATATGCAAACAAATCACATCTTTTCTACAGAAAATCCCATTAAATTGTATTCTCCATTCTCCATTTCAAGTTTGAAGGGGGTATGACCCAACAGGCCTTAAGATCCTCCTGCCATTCTTGGTGCGCAAAGAAAACGTTTTTTTTCCATCACCAGGTTCGTTCACTGCGTAAATGCTGGGCCCATAGGCCTCATCCTCCGCATGCTCTGCATCATCATTCTCCAGCTGAATCTGGCCACTTTCAAGCGCCTCGCGGACCTCTTGCCGCAAGAACGCCAGGTCCGAGTATGTGACACACCATCCTTGAGCTTCCACCAAGTCACCCATAGGATCATCCCAAATAGCAAAAGGCAATTATACTTGAAACGGTTTAAAACAAAAAAAAGATCGAAAAAATGCAGTTCCACCTGGAAAATGACAATTGTTGAAACTGCAAATCAGCATCTGTCAGCTGGAACGGATCGATGCAGTTCATAAGCTATATTGGTGACAGTCCCTGTGACCGTGACTCTCTGAGAAGAAGCCGCGCTGCTAAATCTGCTGAGAATCGAAGAGGGAAAAGATCCATTGCTCATTGCTTTTGGAGATCCGGATCTGCCCCAAATGTGAAAATCCACGGAAAGTGGCCCTGGACAATTCGCACAATGAGGCAAGATTGTGTCCTAGAATATCCTAGATTTTTTCCACCTATGCATGCAGAAACTGACAGACACAAACATGAAGACCAAATAACAGTCTATGTTCCCTGTAGCATCACCTGTGTTTTCTTGTTGCAGTGCGGGGGGTGGTCATAAATCCAGCGCACGTAGTAAGAGACCCGACCAGCGGGTAAGGGTGGTTGAGATGTTTCAAGAAAACCCTGAAGAAAACATGAGAAAACATCAGAAAACATGTAAAATGTCTATGTTTCATGATGTTCCTCTCGCTTTGTCCCAAATGTCTGCGAAAGGGCAGCTGTGCATGGTGATCTTGACACAATATGCCCCCAAGGACTCAGAAAACACGCCCCCAATGAATCATACCCAAGCTTCTCTTTGGATAATTCAGTTCTGCAAATCCAATGGGTTCAAGATTCACACGCGAATCCAAGAGCAAAATGCTCACTTCGAATTCAACCGCTGGGAGCAAAGACATGGTAAAAAAAATTGCCCATTGTGGTGTCAAAAAACCAAAAACGTTTAAGTTACTTTCTTCGAATGATCCCCACCTTTACACGCTATTCTATGCTAGTCTGGCATAGTTTCTGACATACCATCTGGACGTAGTTATGGCATATATATATATACTCTGACATTCTATCTGACATTCTTTCTGGCATTCTATCTGGCATCTATTCTGACATTCTTTCTGGTGTTCTATCTGGCATTTATTCTGACATTCTTTCTGGCATCTATTCTGACATTCTATCTGGCATTCTCTCTGACATTCTCTTCTGGCATTCTCTCTGCTTGGGTCCAGGCCCAGCCCACAGCGTCCGGAGCTCGCGATATGAGGTTCGGGTCCAGGCGCAGCCCACAGCCTCCGAGCTCGCGATAGCTGGTACAGCTGTGGACTAGAGAGAGAGAAGTGAGGAGAAGATGGAGGACGAGGATGCGTCGCACCTTTGTCGAAATCTAGAGACCCTCACCTGGCAGGTTGGGGAAAAATGACAAAAAGAGTGCATCAATGGGTACAAGACTGCAAAGTCTAAAGTACCACTACTGAAATCATCTGGATACTTGATCAAAAGTTGATGCTGGTTGGGCCATGAAAAGCAGTGGTGTTTGCAAAAATAAACTTTTGCTTCCTGCCTTTGGTCGGCTCAATGAACTGCGATAAAGCTCCCCCCGAAAAAAGAAATGGCGGGGGCCGGATACAGTGCATTGATCAAGCCCCTAGGTTTGCAATTTAAACCTTAAACCGCAAGGTTATTATTTAGAAAAATAAAGTATGTTGGTTCAACCCGCATGGTCAAGCCGATGATGCCATTCCCTTTTCGCGCCAGTGCAGATTCCTAGAACCTAGTCCCCGCTGCCATCGGAGTCAGCATCAGACTCAATGGACATGTTCGGTTCACACCGGACGCATACCTCGCTGCACGTCGTCTATGATTTACCCTACCCAACACTTGGGAACTTCAACGAGAAGTGAAGATGAACTACATTTCCATCACAAACTGAAAGCAAAATTGGTAGGAACAACAATGTGCCAAGAACCAAAGGATTTGCTAAAAGGCACCAACTGAATTGGGCGCACAGTTTGCTCTGCATAAAGAGAGATATATATGTATATAAGTAGATGCACATGGCGTCGCGGTCACCAATTTACCATAATCAACATCACCAACATCATCTTCACACCATCGTCATCATCATCACCAACACCACCGTCACCATCATGAAAACAATCGTCACCACGATGACAACCATCACCATCATCATGAAACCTTTGATCATTGTCGTCGTAACCATCATTAAAATCACACGCAATCATCATCATCATCACCATCACCATCATCCTCCTCATCATCGTCATCATCATCATCATCACCACAACCAGCATCACAATCATCAATTTAATATCTCACTGTATTTGATTTTGACTTTGTTTCTTCTCAGTTTGTTTCTGCTCAGCAGGGCACTCAGAAAGTCTATATACGGTTATTCCAAGGTTGCTCTAAGGGATCAAAAAGGAATAGGCGTGGCTGACGAATTGAACCCATCCCCTGAGCAATGTCCAGGTTGGGATGAATGTTGCATCTTGACATGTGTGCATGCACGCATACATGCATGTGTGTGTGTGTGCCTGCGTGTATGCGTGAATGCGTGTATGCGTATATGCGTGTATGCGTGAATGCGTGTATGCGTGTATGCACGTATGTGCGCATGCCTGTATGCCTGTATGCCTGTATTCCTGTATGTCTGCCTTGCCTTGCCTTGCCGTGCCATGCCGTGCCTTGCCTTGCCTTGCTGTCTGCATGTATGTATATGTATATGTATGTGTATGTATGTATGTATGCATATGTATGTATATGTGTATGTATGTATAGTATGTGTGTGTATGTGTATGTATGTGTAGGTATGTGTGTGTATGTGTATGTAGGTGTATGTGTGCATGTAAGTATCCACATATGTAATCATATTTATGCATAACCAGTTGATTGTTTTTTTATCAATTTTACATGTACATATATAATGGGAGAAAATGAAACAAATAGAGAGAACAAAAGGATAGGGCGAGACGTTGTTGGAACCCCCAACCGGAACGTGGCGCACAATTCTGGCTGGCTAGATGCAGATATAGCATCAACTGCGTTGCTCCCTCTGCTGAAGAAAAGCCGCAGGACTTTCAGACCAAGAGGGAGATTTGCAAGGCCTCTCACCCCTGGGATCGCAAACGACAGTATAGACACCGAACAGATATCTCCAACAAGAAGCCAAAGAAGAGCTGCACTATTCATGTTCAAGTCGCGAAGAATAAGGGCAAACACCACCACGATCATATACAGCCAGAAATACATTGCTAGAAGCTTGCTCATGATTTTCAGAATGTAGCGTTGCTCGTCCCAGTGACTTCGACAGAGCAAAAGCACCAGAATCAACCTTGAAAGCAGAGATATACCCACCAGAGTGGCGCGGTAAGCAGGCTCACTTGCCATCACTCCGTGTTGGAATAATACCACTGCGAAGCCTGCGATGGCCACAGGGCCAAGCAAGAACACAGCCGCCGTGACCTCTGAAAATGCCGCATGTTCAATTGATACCATGCGCGCGATATCTCTCAGTAATGGGGTTGACATGCCGGCAGTGAGCAAGACGTGAATGGCATGATCAACACGATCTACTTGGTCGGCAATCTCTTTGCGGATGCTTGTTTCATCTGTTTCTTGCGAACATGTCGCATACTCAATTGAACCTCAGGGAGGGATCAGTGCACTTGGATTCTCCGAAAGGAATTAAGAGCTTAAAACGTGGCTGATTTCAAACCAAAGACGCAGGACTGCTTTGCGCTTTGAACACGTGCCAACCCATCCGAAAAAGATGTTGGTCAATCATCTCTGATAGGATGCACGGTAAATTAACGAGCACAATAGACCCAAACGGGTTCACCCTATTTTGATGTTGATTGATTTTCTACAAAATCGATTGCTTTGGGGAATGACTGACGTTGAAGCATGTTGAAACATGTTGGAACCAGGTAAAGATAAGACCTCGCCTCGGTATCCGTGTTGAAGCTCCTTTGCTTCCAACACAGTGGACCTCGCCTGGATTCGATCCACCTCCATAAAGCAGAAGGCGAACGAGATATTCAGCCAGTAGCACACATGCAACACATAGTCCATTGAAAGAGAGGCGCCACCTTCTTCCTGACAGGTGTGGTGACATGTCCATCAATATATGTATGTACATATATATATATATTTATTTAATTTATGTTTTATCTATATATTTATTTATTTGTAATTATTTACATATGTATAGATATAGATATATCTTGCCAAGCCCGTGTTTGGCTTAAGACTGGTGGGGGGGGGGGTCCGGAGGGGGAAACGGAGGGAAGGGGTGGTGCACGGCAAGGTGCTAAAATTTCAAAAATAGGTGCTCAAATTTAAGGAAATAGGTGTTTTTTTGAAGAAACCGGGTCGGGATCCAGTCGGGACCCAGTCGGGACCCAGTCGGGACCCAATCGGGCACCAATTTTTGCATTTTTGGGCACCGCTTTTGGCCAGTCGGGATCCAGTCGGGATCCAGTCGGGATCCAGTCGGGCACCAATTTTCGAATTTTTGGCACCACGTTTGGACCTGTCGGGAAGCAGCCAAAGTCACCGAAAAACATGCAAAAACACTGCAAAAATGCTATTTTTTATGAATTTGGCTGCCTCCCGACATTGGATCCCGACTGGATCCCGACTGGCCAAAAGCGGTGCCCAAAAATGCAAAAATTGGTGCCCGACTGGGTCCCGACGGGATCCTGACTGGATCCATAGATTGGCAAGAACCCACTCCCGCACCCTTGCCCCCATTTTCCTTTTCCGCGCACCAGCCGTGCACCAATACCCCCCCCCTCCTGCACCAAAACGGTAAAAGCAGTCTTAAGCCAAACGGGGGTTCTACAAGATATATCCCGTAAAAGATATTATTCGACCATGGGGAAGAAGTTTTCTCCCCCTCGCATGTCCTTAGATTTTATGCCATTTGTTTCTGGCAGAAATGGGCGATGGCAGCCGCTCAGTACCCCTCGCAAGTCTGTGTCCCGCGCAGGGCCTGCTCCTTGCAGAGCCCGGCCCCGCGCTGGAGAAGATGTCAGTAAATATGTAATGTACCCTGCCAAATCTCTCAACACATGCCAGGTCAAAAGTCAGAGGATATGGCAGGTTGTAACTGCACCAGAATATAAAGTACCTGAAATTATGGCAGAATATATCGCAAGTGAAAATGTCAGAACATATGGCCGACGATATGTCAAGAATGAATGCCAAAATACCACATGGAGAAATGCGGAAATATTAAATGTCAGATTAAATGCTCGAATCCATGTCAGACAAAATGAGAGAATGTATATGGCAAATCGTGCCTCGTTTTTAATGCAACATTGGGAGATATCACACAAAAATACCAGTGTTGCCTGGCCGTGCTGGGGCGGAAGTTTCGAAAAATGAAAACGGCTACAAGACATCAATGGCCTACAGGAATGTCTGCGAGATCCAGAGACCATGAAATGTTGAGGTTGTGACGTACACCAACAAATGAGCAAATGGCTGTTGAGATACTAATGAAATGACATGAAAGAATCAATGCACGAATGACTGCCTGAATGACCGAACGAATGAAGGGGTAGGAGACTCACTTAGACCCAGCTGATTCGCATCACTTACACCCACCGCATCACTTAGACCCAACACACATCACTTAAACCCAACAAATTCGCATCAATGAACCCACCACTGCTTTGGTAGGATTTGCTTGACACAGGAAGTACACGCTTACGACCCCTTCAAGCTCTCTTAGTTTCACACAGGAAGAACACAGGTACAACCCACTTTAGGGTTTATTTGCTTCCCACAGGAAGAACACAGGTACGACCCCTTAGGGTTTCTTTGCTTCACACAGGAAGTACACAGGTACGACCCGCTCTAGAGTTTCTTTGCTTCACACAGGAAGTACACAGGTACGACCCCTTTAGGCTTTCTTTGCTTCACACAGAAAGTACACAGGTGCGATCCCTTTAGGCTTTCTTTGCTTCACACAGGAAGTACACAGGTACGACCCCTTTAGGGTTTCTTTGCTTCACGCAGGAAGTACACAGGTACGACCCCTTTAGGCTTTCTTTGCTTCAGGGTTTCTTTGCTGGAAGTACACAGGTACGACCCCTTTAGGGTTTATTTGCTTCCCACAGGAAGTACACAGGTACGACCCGCTTTAGAATTTCTTTGCTTCACGCAGGAAGTACGAGGGTACGACCCCTTTAGGCTTTCTTTGCTTCAGACAAAAAGTGCACAGGTACGACCCCTCTAGGCTTCTTTGCTTCACACAGGAAGTACACAGGTATGACCCCTTTAGGCCTTTAGGCCTTCTTTGCTTTACACAGGAAGTACACAGGTACGAACTCTTTAGGGTTTCTTCGCTTCACACAGGAAGTGCACAGGTACGACCCCTTCAGGCTTGCTTTGCTTCACACAGAAAGTACACAGGTACGACCTCTTTAGGGTATCTTTGCTTCACACAGGAAGTACACAGGTACAACCCCTTTAGGCTTTCTTACCTCCACACAGGAAGTACACAGGTACGACCTCTTTAGGGTACTTTTGCTTCACACAGGAAGTACACAGGTACGACCCGCTTTAGGGTTTCTTTTGCTTCACAGGAAGTACACAGGTACGACCCCTTTAGGCTTTCTTCGCTTCACACAGGAGGGACACAGGTACGACCCCTTTATGGTTTCTTTGCTTCACACAGGAAGTACACAGGTACCACCCGCCTTAGGGTTTCTTTGCTTCACACAGGAAGTACACAGGTACGACCCCTTTAGGGTTTCTTTGCTTCACACAGAAAATACACAGGTGCGATCCCTTTAGGCTTTCTTTGCTTCACACAGGAAGTACACACGTACGACCCCTTTAGGGTTTCTTTGCTTCGCACAGAAAGTACACAGGTGCGATCCCTTTAGGCTTTCTTTGCTTCACACAGGAAGTACACAGGTGCGACCCCTTGTGTGGGGCAGGAGTACACAGGTACGACCTCTTTAGGGTATCTTCGCTTCACACAGGAAGTGCACAGGTACGACCCACTTTAGGGTTTATTTGCTTCCCACAGGATCAACACAGGTACAACCCACTTTAGGGTTTATTTGCTTCCCAAAAGAAAAACACGGGTACAACCCACTTTAGGGTTTATTTGCTTCACACAGGAAGTACACAGGTACGACCCGCTGTAGAGTTTCTTTGCTTCACACAGGAAGTACGAGGGTACGACCCCTTTAGGCTTTCTTTGCTTCACACTGGAAATACACAGGTACGACCCCCTTTAGGCTTTCTTTCTTTCACACAGGAAGTACACAGGTAAGACCCACTTTAGGGTTTCTTTGCTTCACACAGGAAGTACACAGGTACGACCCCAGGGTTTCTTTGCTTCACACAGAAAGTACACAGGTACGACCCATTTAGGCTTTCTTTGCTTCACACAGGACGTATACAGGTACGACCTCTTCCTGATTTCTTTGCTACACACAGGAAGTACACAGGTACAACCCCTTTTAGGCTTCCTTTGCATGTTTCAGTTATTGATGTCAATGATGTTGATGATGAAGAAGAAAAAGAAGTGAAAGTGATGATGATGAGTATTATTATTATTATCATTATTATTATTGCTATGATCATTAGGATGATGATGATGATGATGGTGATGATGATCATGATGATGATGATGATGATGATGCTGATGCTGATGTTGATGCTGATGCTGATGCTGCTGATGATTATTGTTTTGATGATGACGATTCTGATGATGATTATGATTCCTTGACGCGGGTTTAAGCGATGCAAATCACGCGGGTTTAAGCGACGCAAATCACGCGGGTTTAAGCGATGCAAATTTGGAGGGTTTAAGCGATGCCGCGACCCGGGACCTGGATGAACGAATGAATGAAGGGATGGCAGAACGAACGATCGAGCGAACGAATGAACGAACGAACAAATGAATGGATGAATGAATGAACGAATGAATGAATGAGTGCACAACTGTATTAACGACTCAACAAATCAATGGGTCAATGAACGAATGAATCAATGAGTGAGTGAATCAGTGAGTGGATCATTGAATGAATGAACCAATGAGTGAATCAGTAAGATTGGTCAATGAATCAGTGAATGGATCAATGAAAGGATGAATCAATCAATGAATCAAAGAAGCAGTGAGCCAATCAAAGAACCAAAGCATGAATGAAAGAATGGATGAGTGAGCTAATTCTTTGATGAGCCACTTCTTCGCTGAGCCACCTCTTTGCTGAGGTACCTCTTCTCTCAGCTACTTCTTCTCTGGGCAGCCGCTTCTCTGGGCGACTTCTTGTCTGACCTGCTTGCACACTGACCAGCATCACTCTCTCAGCTACCTCTTCTGTTGCTCCTGCAACCCAATTCTTCCCTTCCCGCCAGTAGAATGCGCGTTGCAACCTCCAGCTGCCCCGCGTAGCAGGAGCCTCGGAGCATCACTCACGCTTTCCTGTGCGCCAACGTCCAGTTGCAATCCCCCATGGCAGGAGCGTCACACCAAATCGACCAACATACTCACAACACTCACGCTGATAAGATTCCTGGCGTTCTTGCGTGAAATCAAGCTCCTGCTACAGTCTGGTGCACGTTTCCCGACATCATCTTCCAAAAGTGGTCTGCGCACCTCAGTCTTTCCCATTTTGACTGCAAATCGTCGAGCTCTCGCTACAGTCTCGTGCACTTTTTGGCGACAGCGTTTCGAGAACCTTGGCGACCCCTGGGGCCACCATACCTGTAAAAACAGTGGTTCGCACACTTCAATGGTTTTACCCGCAAATTCACACGCTTCCGGATTCCGGACTGTTACTATCGTCTACTGTTTCCACCTTCCAACTGCTGTTGCTACCTCTGTGGTTGACATGATTAGAAGACTGACCAGGTTTATTCGTCCGTAGCTCGAAAGTTTGCCAACTAAACTTCCTTTGATCAGACCATGTTGTGGATTCGTGGATAAAATGTCAAAAGGATGTTGGTTAAAAACAGCGGAATGTGTGTCAGATAAAATCTCAAAATACATCACACGAGAAGTTACCAAAAAATGTCAGAAAACATTGCAGCAAATTTTCGGAATACGTGGCAGATCGTGGCAGCATATATTTCAAGATATAATATGTCAGAATATGTCGAGCAACATGTGAGAATATATTATATATAATAATATATATCAAAGGACACACGGGAATGATGGCACAAAAAAACGAAATGCAAGCATATAATATAATATAATATATATATATTGTAATATTGTACATCAAATGTCCATGTCTTGTTTTGCAACGGGGATACCTCAGAGCAAAGCAATTTGATGAAACTGGTTGAAGAACCATGTTTGAAGGCGGCTTTCAACCCTGCCTCAGCCTTGAAGACCCAACCAGCCCTATGTGTCACCTCAATCCAGCACAACATTTGGCCCACCAAATGCATGAGCCTTCGAAACGTTTCATCCTGTATCACCAGGCTAAAGGCCATGAGCGAAAGGGCCAGCACCGCACCACCATAAGGCCCCCCCACGCCGCGCAAGGTGGAGGCAAGGCCTAAGGCTGCACCCACAAAGGCAGCCAAGACGATCCAGCGTAGAGCTGCCAGGATCTGCGGGAAATGGGAGGAGTGGGCGATCAGAATGGTTTTACCCTCTTCTTGGGCCAGATAAGCCTCATATGCACACCTCAGCTGGACGATTCGGGGGGATGCCCTGATAGCTGGAAATAATAAATAGTTGATCTTTAACTCCACATCATGTGAAATTGGGTGTCTTTGTGTATTATAAAAACCCCCTGTGATTGATGCGCCCAGTCGGCAAACAATCAAATTCCAGTGTGCTATCTTGTGTTGTGGCATCTTGTCCAAGCCAGCTTCGGAGTGAAAACTAGAAAACGATGGCTCTGCATTAGCCAGACACCACAGCCGCGTGTAGACACTTTGATGTCGGTTTGGGACCACCAACATGACTTTAGAGGCGCGCAACGCCACTGCGAAGGGCGAACTAGTGGGGGACTTCAAAAACGATGAGATGTTCAAGTTCTGCGGATTCGCCAACATGCAGCACCAAGCAGTTCGCAACCCCCAGGGCCAGCTGTACGTCACCTTGCTCAGAAATTCAAAGACACCTCAGTGGTAAGCTGAGTACCCTTGCAAACACTGGTTGATTCGTAGGGATTTTTCATGGACTCCAAGGACCCCGGTTGGCCCGGAGAAAAAAGATATGAAATTGCGAAACTACCAGATCATCAGAATCATGACATCCAACAAACCACTAGTTTTCAGCACCTCGCGCCTTCTTGCCAGGCATGGCTGATGAACAGGTCGCAGTCCAAACCATCTGGATGTTGCATCAAGGCCCAGCTAACCTTGCCCGCTTGCAGCGTCACGGGTTTGATGTATTGTTCCTGGTTGTCCGCGGCCGTTGCTTGGAAAAATATGCAAAACCACCATATTTTCTATGGCAAATCCCAGCAAGATTCGCATTCTCTACTTCAAGTTTGAAGGGGGTATGGAATGGTTTCCGCATTAAACACCATTTCTACTTGATACCTTCAGCCTGTCCACAAAATATCAAAACTGATAAAAATCACCGGGCGAGGATGGGAGCTTAAAATTTTAATCATAACAACTTTGCGGATCTACCGTTTTCAAAAAAAAACAGCTTTCCATCACCAGGTTTCGTTTACGCTGTAGATGCTGGGCCCGTAGACCTCTTCGTCCTGATCGTCCTCGAGCTGAATCTGGCCACTTTCAAGCGCCTCGCGGACCTCTTGCCGCAAGAACGCCAGGTCCCAGTAGGTCACGCACCATCCTGGGTGGTCAACCTGCCCTGCCATGGTCATCCATGGTCAACCTGGACCTGTCGATCCCAAATCTCTAATCCAAATCGAACAGAAACTGCACAGAAAAGTCAACCAAATTATGACCAAATTATTACTTCAAAGATCTTCAAAGCACATATCACTAGTAGAATTCAAACAATGCTTTGAAGAGAAACTTCCGAATTATGGATATCTCGACCTCAGCCACAACAATACATCACAACACCTGCAGTAGCGCGCTGTGCCATGGTATCGAACAGCTGCACTGGTTGGTGTGTCAATACCAATCAGCCGGGCAAAAAGTCGATCCACCATAATCCATGGAAAAAACTGTCCAGCAACAGATCAAGCCAGTACAGTAATATACAGTAACCCTCAGTTCGTCAACTCAACATACCCAGAAAAACCAATCAGTGAATCCAGAAAAATCATGAAAAATCCGTGCATCCCAGGCAAAAGCATCAGGCAATCAACGAGTCATTCTTTCAATCGGTCCCTCGGGCTCCATACTGGTCCAAAATCATTCTGGATCGATGAAAATCATGCGGTCCCACCGAATGAGAGCGCAGTTAGATCATATTATATGTTGACCATGAAAAAGATTGAAAAAGGATATAAAAGGATTATATATTATTATATATATATATATTAATATATAATATTATATCAACATCGCGGTTCCACCTGGAAATATCGAACTCTTCGAACTCACACGAGCATCTGTCAGCTGGAACAGATCGATGCTGGTGGTAGGCCAAGTCCGTACGAGTCCCGTGGATCGAGGCCGGACTGCTCCGGATCGAGGCGTCAGATGATGAACGGCTCATGGCCAAAATCGAGGTTTCTTTACATGGGAAAAAGATGGAAAAAGCCCAAAATCCAATGATCTGGAAAGCTAAATTTTGCAGCTGTGAATATACTACAGTAAAATTTACTAAAACGGCCATCAAATTTTTAGGTGTCCAGGCTGCGAAGAAATGCACCGCACCCAATAGATGCGAAGAAAGGGAGAAAAGATGAGCGTTTGCAAAATGGTGATTCGATGTCAAATGTATGCATCTCATGACACTGCTCTCGTTGTGTCCCTGAATATTTGCGCGTCTGCAGCCACACAAACTATGGTGTACTATGATAATTCTGACAAAGCATGATGGTTCACATGGTAGCATGGTTCACATCATAGCATGCCCCCGAACAGCCAAGGTAACCAAGGATTGATGCGACCCAACGAGATTTCATCATTTTGGCCCCAAAACTCTTCGGAAAAGAGGCAAACATGGGAGCGTTTTTCAACAAATCTTGAGCCAAATGATCTCCAGAAACCATGGATGCTTCACTGACAGAAATCTCATCCAAGAAATCGGTCAGATCTTCAATGGGCTATACCCAATGGTTTTGGGATGGACAACATTTCAGCCCTAGGGGCCCTAAGCGTGAAGATTTGCCTGGTGGATCCATGAAACAAAACCATCGGACTCACCTAATTTGAGGGACACTGTGACACCATTTTCAGGGCATCCCGAGGTGATTTCACCCTGAAAAGTGGCCACAGAAAATCCCGAAAAATGGCCACAGAAAATACCCAAACAACAAAAACCACGATGTCCGATGTTTTCCTGGAGATATACCACCGATATCCACCGATTGATAATTGCTCGATCTTCGGATTCTGGCTATCTGGTGAACTTAACACCAACCAGAAAATGATTAAAAAATATATATATATAATGGCCTTCCAGATCAATGCCGTATTGAGAATACAACATAAAGCGACGCACGATGATGGGGGATCTGTATGAAAAGCTCTTGGGGGCACGGTCGCTCGCAAAGCAGGCCTTGTTTCTGGACAGTTTTCCGTAAATGGTCCTCAGCATACCTCAACGCCGCAATGCAGGATGGGAACTTCGGCCAATGGCCACACCGACTTTGGAAGGCCTGTTTCACAGAACAGCTATAGCCAAGTGAAGGAAAAAGTCACCGGGAGATTCAAGCCCTTGAACGCTTTGAATGTGGGTTGTTCAGCGGTAAACCTTACACCACCAGCTTGATTCTTGCCGCTTTGAGGGTCAAATCACTAACCTTGCAACCTTGGGAAGACCTTTGAAGCCAGAAGTGTGACATCAAAATTCAGTACAACCTTCAAGCCTACTACAAGGCATCAATCCTTTGGTATGATATCTCCAAGCTCATTGGGATCAGGCACCGCCTGGCAGGTCCTTAAAAAACCCTGGCGCCCAGCTACGATGATGGACGGTGTCGTTGAAGTCCTCAGGGCGGGACATGTTAGGATCATCACCAGCATCACCCAGGTCTGTGGCCCACATAGAAACCACTCATTTGGTCATCCAGGAGTCATCCAGGAGTCATCCATTCCCCGAAAAACATCGAAAAACCACCTCAAGTCAATTTCAGTCCTAGCCACGCCTGATTTTTAGGAGTCTGCCGGAACCCAAGATTCATTGCCATGTCCAACAGGAAATTCATCTGGTCACTGCAGAGCCGAGATTCGAAGTGGGTCACTTTCAAAAAGAGCACCAGGTCCCTCTCGGCCCAAAGCCTTACATGTCCAAACCCATGAGGCTGCTGCTGTGGCTGCTTTTCAGGCCTTTTTGGGCCGGAAAAAGAACCCACCTCTTCCTCAAATACCCAAGAACCTCAAGAGTCAAAATAACAAGACTCACCCAATTTCACAGCTTTAGAATGCGTTATAACATGTTATAACCGTTATGCATCAGCTATGCTTGGCACCTTGAGTTGAAGGGAGAGATGGGACCGAAGTTTGCAATATAGCCATATATTCGCTCTGTATTATGTCATGTCCCAAGAGTATGATATGATAGCTGTTGTGTGGCTACAATTGGCTACATACTTCCCAAAAGTTGTCCATACACATCACATATCCATACATCTTACCTCGGGTTTTGAAATGTTTGACATTGCACCATGATCCAATCATCGAAACTCGGATCTCAACAGCAGCGGTATCCAAGGTGCTTCTTGTCAAGGCCCGGCACATCGGATCTTGGGCGACTTCGCTTGAAACAACCGCAGGGAAGTGCGCTATCATCCTCCACAAGCCTTGGGATCCACCCATTTTGGGGTGGACGTGCTTGTCCCAACGGCCCAACGGGTCCCAACGCCCAATGGTTTTTGACGTTTTTTGGAGGTTAACTGGCTCAACCACGTTCTTTTGGAGGTAGAATCACCCATGTTTTTTTCCTCTAGTGATATGTGGCAATCCTTGACCTACACTAGCTTTGAGCAACCCGGCTGGCCGTGGAAAAAGAAATGTCGTATATGGAGGGAAGTCTTGAAATGGATCCCGATCAATGGTTCCAAGGTCATTTTGAAGCTTCTGGATGGGAAAACCCACCAAACTTGGGGGTACCTCAATTCTGGCACCCACATGAATTGGAAATTCTTAAGCAAGAATTGGAATCTAGCCACCTAAAAGGAATGTCTTTTGAGTGTAGTTCACCTTCATTACAAAACACCAACCATTGGGTCGGGGTCGACCCGATGGTGTTCCTGGTTTTTTGGTGTTTGACCACCAAAAATGGACGGATGAAGACTAGGAATGACTATCCTCTTGTGGGTCCATTGGTACTAGTACCCATGCCCCTTTTATGTTACTCTCATCCCGGCTGATGCAGACAGAAAATTTCTTACATGCCCCATCTTCGTTGATGGCATATTTATAGGCATATACATTACATTTGCAGTATTCCACACTATAAAACCCCATGTTCGATGGTTCAATCTCAATGTTTTGGATGGTTGCCATGCCTCCAACATGACGGCCCTGCCCAATAGGGGATGAAAACCATTTGGTTCCACTATAAGTATGTTATTTTCAAGGTCTTCATATTATAGAGTAATTAAATAACTTGTTCCAGTTATAATTATCTTCGTCCACATTATCTCGTGTTCCTCATAGGTTCCACTATAACTGGTCTATTTCAAACTGGTTGGTGGTTTCAACCCCTCTGAAAAATATTAGTCAGTTGGGATGGTTATTCCGAATATGATGGGAAAGTCATAATCCAGCCATGTTCCAGTCACCACCAACCACATATCTCCTTAACCATTATTAACCACCATTAATCACCATTAAATCACCATTAATCCCCATTAAATCCCCATTAAATCACCATTAATGTTTGGTCCCAACCCGTAAATTACCACAGTACAAATTTGACACAGGCCGAAACCAAACGTTCTGCTGAAAGAACTCTCGGAATTCCTGGAGCGCTTCCTTGTTGATCTCCAGCATCAGCAACCATTGAGTTACCTGCCCCAAAACAACGAAGGGAAGCCATGGAAATGGTTAGCCTAAACCTGCATGTGTTGATGATTGTTGCTGATTGATGGTTGATAATTGGTGATTGTTGATCATTGTTGATGAGTGTTGATAATTGATGATTGCTGCTGATTGATGATTGTTGAACATTTGTGATTGTTGATGGCTGTTGATGATTGTTAATGATTGCTGATGATTGTTGATGATTGTTAATGACTGCTAATGATTGTTGATGATGGGTGATAATTGTTAACTGTTGGCGATTGTTGGTGATTCTTGATGATTGCTAATGACTGTTGATGATTGTTGATGAAGGTTGATAATTGTTCATTGTTGATGATGCTTGATGATTGTTGATAATTGTTGATGATTTTTTGGTGACTGTTGATAATTGTTGATGTTTATTGATGATTGATGATTGTTGATGCGTATTGTTGATTGTTGATGATTGCTGATGATTGTTGATGATTGTTGATAATTGTTGATGATGATTGATGATTGTTGCTGATTGTTTATGATTGCTGAAGATTGTTAATGACTGTTGATGATTGTTGATGATGGTTGATAATTGTTGATTGTTGATGATTGTTTATGAATAATGATTGTTGATAATTGATGACTGTTGATGATTGTTGATGATTGTTGATAATTGTTGATGATGGTTGACAATTGTTGATTGGTGATGATTGTTGATGATTGTTTATGACTGATGATTGTTAATGAATCGATGACGGTTGATGATTGTTGATGGCTGTTGATAATTCATTATTGTTGATGATTGATGACTGTTGATGATTGCTGATGATTGCTAATGACTGTTGATGATTGTTGGTGATGCTTGATAATTGTAGATTGTTGATGATTCTTGATAATTGTTTATGATTGATGATTGTTGATGATTGATGACAGTTGATGATTGTTTATGATTGTTTATGATTGATGCTTGTTGAGTGATGATTGTTTATGATTGTTTATGATTGATGATTGTTGGTGATTGTTGATCAGTGTTGATTAGTGCTGATGATTGTTGATTTCCAAGATCCAAAGATCCTGTGGGCCCATCCACTGCGGGCACCTCTTTGTAGCTAATCGGCGTACTGAGCAGATCCTGCTTCGCCTCGGTGATGCAAAAATGTCAGCATCAAACAGGATGATAATAGGTTATCATTTTTATCATTTTTATTATAGGTTATAAATGATAACGGATGATATTATAAATGATAATAGGTTATCATTTTTTAAAATCATTATCATCATAATTATCCTGACTATCATAATTATCCTGATTTCTATCATCATTATCCTGATTATCATAATTGTCGTTAGCATCACTATTATGATTACTATCGGTATTATCAATGTTATCATTATTTTCATTGTTACATGATCATCACTACATATCATGATTATTATCATTATCATTATTTAAATTATCATTATTATCATTGGTATCATTATCATTGTTATCATTGTTATTATTATTGTCACCATTGTCATCATTATTATCAATTTAATCATTATCATTATTATCATTATTATCATTATTATCATTATTACCATTATTATCATTATTATCATTATTATCATTATTATCATTCTTATCATTCTTATCATTGGTAACATTATTGTCATTATCATTGTTAAAATTATCCGTATCATTGGGAAAAAATATCATGAATAATACAGTAATTGTCATTATCATGTTCGTTAGTGTCAGTAGTATCATTAGCATCGCTATCATTATTGTCATTGTCAGTATCAGAGTTATCTGTACTATCAGTATCATCATTATAATCATTATTATCACTGTTATCATTATGATCGGTGTTTCTATCATTAGTATCATTATCGTCACTATTATCATTACTATCATTATTATCAGTATGTTCAGCGTTATCATTATTATCAGTGTTATCATCATTATCATTGTGTTCATTATTATCATTATGATCGTTATCATCCTTATCATTGTCAAAATTATCATCGTTATCAGCATCAATATTAAAATTATCATTATTTACCCTTATGTTTCATTATTCATCATTGTTTATTTATCATTATTTATCATTATTTATCATTATTTATCATTGTGTGTAATTATCATCATGTTTATCAGTATTATCATTATCGTCACTATCATCATTATTGTCATTATCACTATTACCGTCATTTTCATTATTGTCATTATGTTTTGTCATAATTGTGAAAATCATTATCATTATCATCATTATGATCATCCTTATCAGTACTGTCAGTATTATCATTGTCATCATTATTATCAATGATATCATGTGCATCATAATCATCATTATCACCATTACTGACAGTATTATCTGTGCTATCATTGGTATCATTATTGTCAGTATGATCAGAATTATCAGTATAATCAATATCATCATTGTTATCATTATGATTGTTGTGACTATCAGTATTATCAGTGTCACCACTATCATTATTATCATCGTTATAATTTGTAAAATTATCAGTAGCATCTTTATCATCAATATTATCATCATTCTGATTCTTTTAATTATTGTCATTATGATTGTTGACATGATTGTTAAAATTATCGGCGTTAACATGCTTATTATCATTGTCATTGTTATCAAAATGTTTATCATGATTATCACCAGTTTCATCATTATTTGTGTTGTCATCATTATTAAAATGATTACAGTATTTGTCATTATCATCTTTACTAACATTGTGATCAGTACTATCAGTATTATCACTGTTATCATTATCATTGTTGTTGTTACCATTCTTATCATTAGCATCACTATTATTATCAATTATCAGTATTATCAATATTACTGTCAATATTGTCATTGTTGTCAGTATTGTCATGGTTATCATTATTATAATGTTATCATTAAATGATCATTATCGTTATTATTATCATTGTTATCATTCTTATCAGTATTCTCGGTCTTGTCATGATTGTCAGTATTATCAGTATTGTTGTTACCATTATTATCATTATTCTCATTATTAGCATTATTATCATTATTATCAATATGATCACTATTATCACCATTATCATTATGATCACTATGATCATTATTATGATCATGATCATTATGATCATTGTGATTGTTGTTATTGTTGTTAGAATTACCGTTGTTATCCTTATTATACTAATGTTAGATGTAAAATGATGTAAACATATACATATGATTATAATTGGATAATGACATTCAGTCAGCCTTTGATCTGTGTTATTATCGCCATTATGCATTTGATCCATCATTTTAGTAATTATAATATATTGTACTTGTTCAGTTTGTTTTTTTAACTACGTTGACAAAGGATGCACACATGAAAGAAACACCATAAAGCAACATGCCTGGTGGAATAGAGTCCACCACAAAAAATACACCAGCACTGTGCAGAGATCGATTTGAGGGAAGCCTCCAACCCCACCAGTTCGCAACTTTGGTATCAAATAAATAGCTAGGCCATGATTCTCATTGTCACCCTTGATCCTTAGTTCACTCACTCCTAGAGCTGTGGATTCCAACGATATCCTCAATTTTTGGACATCCCCAAACTGGCCGGTGCCCAAAAAAAAAGGCCTCAATTGGGATGTCACTTGGGATGTCATACCGGGTGTTTCTGAAAATTGGGATACCGTCCCCCTAAAGGTAATTTAACATAGCTATGGAAAATCACCATTTTTAATGGGAAAATCCACTATAAATGGCCATTTTCCATAGCTATGTTAGTCATTACCAGAGGGTACCCCCTAAAGCCACCGGTTGGAGCCCAGTGACTGCGGCCACGCCCTGAGCCTCTCGAGCGTTCTTGGCCAATTCTTCGGTCTTTAGGGCGATCTCCTCATCGTCGGAGAGAACATACTGGCACCGCCTGGTAAACATACAAAAAGCTATTGAAAATGGATGAAAATGGCCCATTTATAGTAAATTTACCCATTAAAAATAGTGATTTTCCATAGCTTTTTGTAAGTTTACCAGGCCGGGTACCATTGAAATCCAGATTTTCGAGTCGAGGGAGTTGACATAACAAAGAATACTCGTGAGAATCATTGGACATCATTGAATGTTGCTGATACCCCCTGGTAAATTAACATAACGAACTGGAAAGATCCACCATTTTCTAGCTGGGTAAATCCACTATTTCGACTGGCCCATTTTCAATAGCTATGTAACAAATTACCAGAGGGTAAAGATGGACAAACTGTGACAAACCAGTATCATGACTTTACAAGCGTCCATTTCACTCTTGCACTTTGACTCGCGGCTGGCAGACCCAGCGGCTCGCCCTGGGTCCCTGGGCCCTTCAAACAAAGCTCCTCCCATTCCTTTTCCAAATCTGATGAATCGGATTCAACCTTAGCTGCACTGAAAAACTAAACCTTCTTGCTGGCTCACTCACATGTACCGAAGACCATGAACATCAAATGTGGACAGTCTGGAAACTGCATATGTGGTATCCCATCAGCAAATATGGCATTGATGAATACACAAAAGACATCAAAAGACACCAAAAGACATCAATGGCTACAACGTCTGTGGTGGGTGTTACTTACCCATCATTTGCAGGCGTGTTGTGTTTGGTTGTTGCTCCACCCACAGGTTCTAGGTGTCTCTTCAAACTTACAGTATGGGAATGTCTGAAAATGGATTACCCTCTGGTGAACTAACATAGCTATGGAAAATCACCATTTTTAATGGGTAAATCCACTATTTCTATGGTCATTTTCAATAGCTATGTTAAATTACCAGAGGGTATACCCCAACAGTGCAAAAAAATACAGAATAAAATGATGAAAAACCGCTGGAATTTTGGGGTACCCGGTTTCAAACAGACCCATGGGAACAAACTGCGAAGTTTCCCACATCCACCACAGCAAAGCGTTTCGTAAATTCCTCGGATATTCATCCGGCTTGGGAACTCCTGAATAGTCAAGGGTATACACTATAAGTTAAGGTTGTGTGTGACAACCCCATTTCGGGGACTTGCTGAACAGGCTAAATACTCGAGCATGAATCAATAGCCATTTGTTGATTGAGATGAAGATCCAAGTAATCAATCCCTTCACTCAATATTCAATTGCTGGAACATATTGGTTCCAAATATGGTTTTCCTATTGTTTTCCTTTTGTCGTCCCCAAAAAAATGAAAAAACACATGATCCCAAAAATGGTACAAAGACTCACAAAAATGATGGGGAAATCTTGGAAATTCCATGGAAATTCCTTGGTCTTTCCGCGCAACTGGGTCGTTCTGAGGCGAAATTTCGTTCTGCCGCGCGATGTCATCCCATTCTTCTCGGGACGCGCTGCTGGCAGCTGCCTCGAAGGCTCCCTTGAATAAATGGTGTCATTCATCCTGGATAGAATGGATATGGATATGGATATGGATAAATGATATCTAAGAATCTAGGATATGGAAATTCTGGCAATTTAGATATTCTTGGAATGACTGGAGAGCCATTTATCAATGAAGCTTTATGGCGATGGTTGACCCTGCCAAAAAGTCAAGGAAGGTACCGGGCTGTAACCAACATGGATAAGTATGTCATAGAATTGAAAGTCCCTCAAATTCATTCAAAATGCCTTATGTTCTTTCGTGTGTCTGACAATTTGAGAACAAACGTTCCAAGTGGCCCCAAAAAGGACATACAAAGAAAGCACAAAGTAACACATAATATGTGTAATAACTTTCATACTGGGAGTGTATCATTGATCCCAAACAAAAACACCATCAGCCATTACATATCCCATCAAAACCCAAGATGCACAAAAATCTTACTGGCAGAAACAATTAAATTCAGCACCTCGGACAACTCCAAGTTTCACACAATCATGCCGCTTGCGGCTTGCTGGATTCCCTGCTAAAGCAAAAACATTTTCTACTGTAAGTGCTAATTTTCCTTACCAGCATTTGACATTTTGGGGTAACTCTCCCAATTTCAGATACACCCACGTATCATGTCGTTGTTGGAAATACAATCAAACCCTTTTCAATGGATCCATCATGATGTTCCCAGCGAAAAAAACCTCCATTCAGAAGGCAATATGGCCAACATGGATGATAAGTGGTTAATAAATGTTAATAGTAGCATAATCAATATTACTTTCCCAGCTATCAACCCAGGTAATAAACCTCCTACATTCATCAATATTCCACGGGTCGCCACGCTTCACAAAACCGCATCTTCATCCGCCGTATGTTCGGGCGGCCCCCAGAGTTCACCATTTTCTCTGCAAGACGTTGGAGAAGAAAACTGTGGCTACTCTGAAGAGGAAGAAACATCTCAAATACCCTCTGGTAATTTAACATAACTATGGAAAATCACAATTTTCAATGGGAAAATCCACTATAAATGGTCATTTTCAATAGCTATGTTAGTTTACCAGAGGGTAATCGTGGTGAAATATATCTATGTTCCAAGAAATCTTCCAAGAAAAAAAACCATCCATTTCTCTCAAGTTGACTCAAAATTTTCCAAAGACCATCAGTCTATCCCATGATGATCCTGCTATTGTACACTATTGTCCTATTTTTGGGTCACTTTTGCCAAAGACCATCAGTTTACCCTACCCTCTGGTTATTCAACGTAGCCATGGAAAAATCATCTCTCCACGGGCCATGGTTTCCATAATTATGTTCACCAGAAATTATATATCCCATTAAGTGGACACTTCAATTCCATTAAATCCCATTATATAAATCCCATAAATCCCCATTAAATCAAGATATCCGCAAGAATTCCCATGGATTTTCCCACTCTCTGCAGCTCGAGGCTCTGGGGTCGCCGTTTTTTCGGCCGCGGCCACCGCGGCCACCGTTGCCAGCCGTCGTTCCCCGCTCTCCCGGGAGCTCTCGTTGGAGGCGGCCACGGTGGAGGCAGCTGAGGGGGCAGCGGCCTCCATAAACATATGAAGAACGAATAGAGAAACCATAATGACCCTCCAAATGCATAAAACATCGGTATTTACAGTGTTTTATCATCATTTTAATGAAAATTCACTCTAAAAATATGGGAATATATCGGAATATAATGGAACATATTAGTATATGGATGAAATTCTAATATGAAAATATGGGAATATGGATGGGAATATGGAAGTATATGGATGGGAATGGGAGATATAAAAGTCATTCAGAATTCCATCCATATACTGCAGTTGGTATATCAGGCTCATTCAACGTCAACTTTATTGAGGGATATACGGGAACATGACAGTAATATAAATCTGATGTTCACCGTTAAAGTATATATATATAGAGAGAGAGAGTGGAACGCCACCAGGTCCCCAAAAATACGTGGTTTTAAGCGTTTGTTTAACTATTTTATGTTTCGTTTTCCTCTTTTGATCATATATGAAAGATCAAAGTTCCTGGGAGATGCACTGGTTTTGGTTTGTTAATCCTTAGCTCTATTCTTGGTTGCTTGCTTTTTGTAGCTCTATTGTTTTTTTTGATAGGTGGTCTTAGTGCATGAATGACAAAGTTCTTTGCCCAACAACATCTTGAAACATAGAGATTCATTGTGTCAGTTGTATTTGCATTGGTGGTTTTTGATATTGGATTGCCAAAAGCCTTTTGGTTGGCATCATAGTTCCAGTGGGACTCTTTTAGCAAATGAAAATGCAAATTCCAATCTACTCTCCCTACTCAAGTAGTTGCATTTTTTTGGCATACTTCATGGTAACTTGCTGCATCCATGCACAAGCAAGGCAGCCATTCTATAGATACAGTTGTTTGGTAACGTTGCTTAATTCGTGGTTCCTTTACTTGGTCTTGTGCCCTTCTGGTTACCATGATGAAGTTATACTGACATAGTTTAAGTTGTGCCCACATCCGTGAATACATTTATGGTAATAAAATGTCTGCCATTCTATTTGCAGTGACACAGCAAATTACCATGGAATATGCAGGTAAAAACGTCTTTTCTGAAGCAAGGGGGAAAGGGAAGTGCCCCTGGAATTTGCCAACTCTTGTGATCAATCGATATTTTAAGCAAAGATCTTTTACTGCATTGAAACCTGGAAGAATACCATTGCATATGCAGGAAAAATGTAGAAAGCTTGTGTCTTTAAGGGCATAGGTGACTTATATGCCACCCATTCCATAACTGTATGTACTATATAAGAAAAATGTATGTATATATAATATATATATATATAATTATATATAATATTTGCATTCTAAGTGCAAATGCAGCTTGGATGTGTTGACACAGTAAATGGCTATGGTATCTGCAAAAAAAAATATTGCTTTTATCACAAAATACCTTCTAGATACCAGTGTATGTTCGAAGCTGCCGTTTCTACTGTATATATACTGATACTGCACACTTGTAACAATGCGCTTGCATACTGGTTGAAACCATTCACCCACTAAAGCACAAACAACCCCTGAAACCTTTTATACAGTGTATAGATCAAAGAATTAAGAACAAGAGTGAGTATTGGTCAAAAGGATGGAGAAGGGACCCCTTTCCATAGGAATGCATTCTGGGAGATGCTACTTCCTAGTCCAATGTGTTGTGTCATAGTTGTTTTCTGTCCAGTTTTATAAACAGTCTTAATTCTTTTTGTGTGTTGCTCATCCTGTCATAAAAGCACAGCCAAACAATTATGGTAACAGGGTACCTGGATTAGATATGCAGTGGCAAAGCAAATTACTGTGAAATATGGAGGAAAAACATATTTTTGGAGAAAGGGTAAGTTGGAGCTGCCCTTACCATGTTCCAACTCTTACGAGCAAAGTCAGTTGCAACCAAAGAGTCTTTATTGCGTCAATCCTGGAAGAATTCCTTTACATATGCAAAGTTGTGTACGTATTGCTATGCGCTACTTATGTAGCATCCATATCATAGATGCATACAGTAGTACTACTACAAGGAAAATGCAAATCCATCAATGTATATAGGAGGGCTATATATAGAAGGGCTAGGAGAGGGGGGAAGCTCATTTTAAAAAAAAAGCTCCCTTTCCTTGGCCACCTCTCCCCTAAGGTATACACACACTATGTTTGTTTTCCCTCCTTCCTTTTCCCAGGGGATCTTCATGACTCTCTGGACATTCTTTGGTAACCTTTAACAACCTGCCATCAGGGAGAGGCTATGTACATAGGAGGGCTATGAGAGGGGATAAGCCCGAAAAAAAAACAAATGTGTTTTTTTTTTGGTTTTTTCCTTGGCCACCTCTCCCCCTAAGGGAAGCCATATATATATACACACACACTATGTTTGTTTTTTCTCCTTCCTTTTCCCAGGGGATCTTCATGACTCTCTGGACATTCTTTGGTAACCTTTAACAACCTGCCATCAGGGAGAGGCTATGTACATAGGAGGGCTATAAGAGGGGATAAGCCCGAAAAAAAAAAAACAAATGTGTGTTGTTTTTTTTCGTTTTTTCCTTGGCCACCTCTCCCCCTAAGGGAAGCCATATATATATACACACACTATGTTTGTTTTTTCTCCTTCCTTTTCCCTGGGAATCTTCATGACTCTCTGGACATTCTTTGGCAACCTCTGAGGAAGTCTGACAATCTGTGTGGATCTCTAGCAATACCATCACAGGTATATGAACATAAAGGATTGAACATGATGTAGCAAAAACACTGCATTTCCAGAAACGTGGAACGATGGGGACCTGACAGCGTACCTTTCTGTATATCCATACGTATGTATATATATATATATCAACGTATATGCAAACAGATACGTATGTACAGTGAATAAATGGGTAGAAAAGCCCAGCGATGGGATATATTGAATGTAAACGATTCCAACCATCTAGGTGGTTGCTTCTAGGTCGACGTCATGCTTTCAAGGTGATGCTTTGACCAGGAGAGATTCATCTAAGGGCTCAACACCGCAGGGGGAAGCTCATCGTGATATGAGAGGGAAAAAAAAAATTAATGAGGACATCACGTGATATGTCTTACTATATGATCAACAGAATAAGCAAACAGCAAACCAATGGGAAGATTCAATGCAAAAGTTGCCAACGAACTCGAAAATCCGCCATGTTCGAGGGAACTATACATATTCTCCCCGTTCAAAAGTTTGCTTCCATGTTATGTTCCGGGAAAAGTTGTGACTTTTTTTGCCACCTGCATCTTCAGCTGTGGGGAGATCATGAGATCATACGATGATTCCTCCAAAAGGCGAGCGAAATGATCCCACATCATGAGCGATCCTGTGGTCATTTAATGGTTAAACCGTTGAGCAGTCTATGAATGGTAGTAGCTTAACATGGTATTTACGCAACTTGGGTAAACCTATCAATTGAGCAGTGTTCATAATCCCTCTGTCATTCCATGAAATGCTGGTTGATTAAGAATGGGATTCCATTCTTGGATTGTTATCATCATTCATAACCCCCAGTATCTTGGGTAGTATAATCAACTATATTGGATTATTATTTATAATTATCCCTATTGGAGTGTAATAAACTATTATTAATGTTAAACCATTATTATAATTCCCCAACTAATCATCAATCAACCATCATTTATATAACTTATATATACTTGAGCCATTAAAAATACCCCGTTTTCCCATCTCATTATACTAGTTGGTTGAAAACGGTTTCCCAATCCTATGGGTTATCATAATCCCCAGTAAACCAGGTAGGATTAAATCCCCTATAGCAATCAATTAACCAGGGTATTTTTAATGGCTCACTTATATCCCATTAGTTTGATAGTTGAAATCCCTATGAAATTCCAACCATCCAACCAGCAGCCTCGACTCCCTCGACTCCCTCGACTCCCTCGACCTTCGTTTCCTTCGTTTCCTTCGTTTCCTCCACCGGTCCAAACTCCGCCTCAGCGATGGGCCCCGCAAATCGTTTGAATGGGTTAGTTGAACCCCCCCAGTTAGATTGACATGATGGATATTGACAATAATATGTCATTAATATGTCATTCATATGCATTAAACATATCAATCTAATGGAATATCCCCTATTTCAATTTTAGGATGAAATATGGGACGAAATATGGCTTAGATGAATGGATAATCAACCACGGATCCGATTCGTGGGCACATCGAAGTACTCTAATTATACTTTTACTGTCCCTATCTTTAGGGACCCCTGGCCGCTGTAACGTACTGCAAGTTTATCAAAGCACCCCAAGCCGATGTTCATACGTTAACCACTGGCATTGGCGAAGAAAATCTAGTTTGGAGGGTTTGTATTTGGTGTGAAACACGTTACACGTCGTGAAACACGTCGCACTCTGTTCAAAAATCATCAGGATCCACCATCAAATCTCGAAAGATAGAACGACTCTTGAGAGAATCTGACCGATGCTACCCATGGAAACTCTTCAGCATCCGAGCCAATTTTCATGGCTAGTGCCATTCAGTGGGAGTCCGTTCCAGTTGAGGTAAACCGTTCCAGGAACTATCTGAGTTGTACCGACAGGTTTCATCCCTGTTCATCCAATGGTTGGATCAGCTTTTTTGGTCAATCCCCAGCTTGAAAAAACTGACCAATCAACCACTTATAGCCATAGATTTAACTTGATATAACATGCTTGGCTGCTGAATCACCGTCAAACATAGTTACATGGTACATAGTCTGCAATCCTCAAGTTCGTCCCTACGGGTACCACATCTGCGGAACCGATCCTCATTCCTGACAACAAGAACCCCCATAGGAACCAACAATTTTTGCAGAGGTTGTTGTAAGATTGCGATAGGTTTGCAAATGTCTAAGGTTGCTATGGTTACCAATCCACATCAATCAGTGGTTGAACGTGATCAAATCATATTATATACACGCATAAATCATATGATTTAAGCATCTATAGGACCTATCTAAACACATCAATCCCCATATGGCCCATATCTAAACCCTATCTAAACATATTTAAACCATGTCAAATCATATCAATCCTCAGGTACCAACGGACTTTTCCATCGCGCCTCTGACGTCGGTGTGATTCCCTCCAGCGCCGCCGCGGCCGCGGGTTGCGCCACTTCCCGCGGGCGGCCCGAGACCTGCCAGCGGGGGGAGGATTTTTTCCATTTTGGAAAATGACCCTCTGGTCATACCCTCTGCTAAACTAACATAGCTATTGAAAATCCACCATTTTGAGTGGGTAACTCAACTATTTCTATGATCATTTTCAATAGCGAACTGTTAAATGACCAGAGGGTAATGAAAAATGATGAAAAGTTATGAAAAGTTATGAAAAAAATATAAATCCCCATTCTTAAATGGTAGATCATCATGAAGCATCTACATTTGGGTCCTTTCCCATATGTCAAATAACCAAAGGGTATGTAGGAGAAAGATATAGTTAGAGATGTCAGCCCAGTTCGTATATCATCCCAATTCGTATGGAATCCCATAATTTGTCGGTCTATCATCAGAATTAGAGTGTAGTCATTGGGGGTATACAGCATTCTATATCAATGGGATAAATGCAGTTTGGGAATTACCCTCTGGTAAACTAACATAACTATGGAAAATCCCCATTGGTAATGGGTAAAATCCACTATTTCTATGGCAATTTTCAAGTTCGCAAACTGTTAGTTTACCAGGCCGGGTACCAACCATGAGCAAACCATCCTTTCACTAAGCTGAGCCAAAAAAAAAAAGGCTGAGGATGGCTGAGGCTTGCCCTCGGGCACGAGGCCCGTCACGTTGAGTCACCCACCCGAACGGTGAACTCCGTGAGAGATTGGAAGCCATGGCCCTAATCGAAATCGATGCTTTATCGAACTTAATAGCATGGTGATTTTCTAGTTCGCGATGTTAAATTACTTGATTCTTCGTCTCTTCTCTTTCTCAGATGTCTTCAATGTCTGCAATCACTACGGAATGCCTCGCCATTTTTCAACCATGTTTATTGCCAGTTTTTGGATCACAGGAGCTGACCAAATATCCTCAGGGATATTTTAAAAAAATAATCCTCAATCATCTTTGCTGTACCCTTTTTTTGTTGGTGAAGTAAAAATGACAGTCCGGCGAAATCATGCCCGTGATCCATTTGTCGTTACACTGTACCTCAGGGATTGATTAGATTTTCAGGCTGAAATCCCCCATTCTGGAAAGCGTAGACTCTCCACCTCTGCTGTGTAACGTGCCAGCTCATATCTCACAAAGTTTTCCTGCTTAAACAACCTTAAATCCAATCTCTGACACTTCAAACCAATCCTCTTGCTTGTGGCTGAATATCACCATCATTCGCGTTATTTTTACGGTGGCGTTCCCCTTTGCTCGCATCACCAAGCTCGCTTGCTTCAAATTACACGTCAAAATCAAATTTGCACAAGCTCTTCCAGAAATCTTCTCAACCTGGTTGCTTCCCGCATGTTTTGCAACTTCAAATCGTTGTTTAGAAAGTGATATACTAATGTTCCCCACCTTCGCCTCTACCTCTGGCTGAAGCTCCTCAGCATCCACCGCTGGGGCTACGGAGGTAAAGAGATCGGCCTTGCACTTCAGCGAGTTCTTTGGGTTTGTTCAATGAACACCACGGTGTCTTGGGAGTGTTTCCAACATTGAGTTTAAATATGGTTAAATGCTATTTAATCAACAAAGATAGGGTTTGGGGATGTTTAAGCAACAAAAGTGGCTATGTTTTGAAATATGAACCAGCAAATTGGGGATTCTTAATGGGATATAGCCGATTTATATAACCAACAAAGAAATTGTTTGTGGGGTGTTCACCAAGCATTGAAATTTCAGATATCTTCACCAAGCTGTTTTGTAAGAAACTTCAAACATGTTTGGAGACATTGTACAACCACAACTTAAATATAGCACAAAAAATTAGTTTCAGCTTGTGAGTTTACCAAGATCAGCTTGGATACCCGTCATGATAGCCGCTTAAAATTAGGAGAATTCACCATGGAACTTTGGTCACCATGGAAAATGGAGCTCTGCCGGAAAAATCCGGATGTGCTTTGGGGACGCAAAAACTCTCGCAAGTACATTCTTTCGATGAAGCAGGTTGAACGCTGGAACGCTTGCGGAGATGTTCATCCCCCATCTCTGATGGTTTTCAGCCCGAAATAATCAGACATTAGTCAGTTTGTTTCATCATCCCTAAGCCGCCCTAAGCCTCACACCTGAGAAAACTCATAAACTTTTCATCGGAAAAACCAGCCACCCAGTTACCCAGCTCGGTCTTAGAAGCTCCGCCTCCGAAGCCGGAGTTGGATCATTCACCTGGACATCCGGGCTGTAAACAAAGATGATGCTCCAAACCTTTCAGGAATGTCCAGATAGTGAATAGTAAACATCAATAGTGAATAAAAAATACCTAAAAATATTAACAATAGTAAACATCGGGAGTTTCAGGTATGGATGTTGATTATTGATGTGAATACTATTGATTATGGTAAAGGCATTTTAGATGGGCTGTAATACAATTGATGTCAATAGAAGTTTAGATGTTGATTATTGATGTGAAAAGAAGTTCATAGATTTACCGTCCGGTAATCAGCTCCATGGCTAGCGGGAAAATCCACGATGATTTTCCCAGCGAACTAAACCTCCATTTAGGGGGATGTTCCATTGCTATACTCCAAGATATTAAGAAATGGGTAATTGATGTTTATTGTTGGGTATACCTCACTACTGTACCAGACTCCATGTCATGGGTCCTCAGAAGTGGCCTCAAAATCTGATTTATTGCCTAAGTATTATGTTTGATGGGGGGGTTGAATCAGATGTCAACATTTATACCTATATTAAATATATATATATGGCAAATACCTACTATGGCTTCAATATATCCATGGTTAATACGATATAATACGATAATATACCTACGAATCCAATTCCCCTAATATGAAACATCCTCTAAATGGTCAGAAATATGGATAAATCCCTTACTAAATCCCTGATGGGTGGTTTGATAAGGAGGAAGGGATTATTGAACATAATACCTCTGTTGGTGAATACCTCTCGTCAATTGATGTTAATTGTTGGTTAATATATGCTATTACTATTGATGGTATTATATAGTACCTATGGTTAACTGTTGTGTTTACTCACTACTCATGGCTTCATGGTGAATCTTAGATACCTGACCAAAAAAAAACTATTTCTTTGGCTGGTTCGGACTAATTTTGCCATTGATAGCAAAAGATTAAAGCATTTTGCCATGTGGGTAAAACAATCATAAACCATCCCCAATGACTCAGCATAAAACTATAGCTGCTATGTTTACCATTAGTCATGGGTGGTTTATTGTTTCACCATGTTTTACCCCCATGAAGATCCATGAAGTATCTAACACTTAGATAGTTCCACGGTACCTCCATCAAGATCTGATCCAGGCGATGCCGTGGCGCCGCGGCAGCTTCGGAGTGGGAAGATGGCGCCTGAGGTGGGAAAAATGGGGATGTAATCAACCTTTAAATGGGAATCTAACCTATAAGAATGGGACATTGGAAAGGTATTTTAGATGGGCTGAAAAAAAAATGATGTCAATAGAAGTTTAGATGTTGATTATTGATGTGAAAAGAAGTTCATAGATTTACCGTCCGGTAATCAGCTCCATGGCTAGCGGGAAAATCCACGATGATTTTCCCAGCGAACTAAACCTCCATTTAGGGGGATGTTCCATTGCTATACTCCAAGATATTAAGAAGTGGGTAATTTATGTTTATTGTTGAGTATACCTCACTACTGTACCAGACTCCATGTCATGGGTCCTCAGAAGTGGCCTCAAAATCTGATGTATTGCCTAAGTATTATGTTTGATGGGGGGGTTGAATCAGATGTCAACATTTATACCTAAATTATATATATATGGCAAATACCTACTATGGCTTCAATATATCCACGGTTAATACGATATAATACGATAATATACCTACCAATCCCATTCCCCTAATATGAAACATCCTCTAAATGGTCCGAAATATGGATAAATCCCTTACTAAATCCCTGATGGGTGGTTTGATAAGGAGGAAGGGATTATTGAACATAATACCTCTGTTGGTGAATACCTCTCGTCAATTGATGTTAATGGTTGGTTTTACCAAGGTACCTCCATCAAGATCTGATCCAGGGGATGCCGTGGCTGCGCCGCGGCCGAGTCTGCCGCATCTTCGGAGTGGCAGGAAGATGGCGCCTGAGCCGGGAAAAATGGGGATGTCATCAACCTTTAAATGGGAATCTAACCTATAAGAATGGGACATTGACAAAGAAAAATGCATAAAAGGGTCTGATTCAAGCATCGAACATTGGGAGGCTTACCATCAAAAAAAGGGGATTCATGCATAAAAAGGTATGTTCATTGAGCATTGGAAATTGGGATTTGATCATCAAACATGCGGATTTTACCATTAAGAATGTACATTCAAGCATCGAAAATGGGGATTGAACCAACAAAAACAGGAAATTAAGTATGAAAAAGTGTGATTCAAACATCGTCGCAAATTGGGCTTTGACCACTAAGACTGTGGATTTTTCAGCATGAAAAATGTGGATTTGAGCCATTTCAGCATCGAAAATTTAAGGATTGCACTGAGGGGACATCAACAAATTGGATTTAGCAAAAATGTGGTTTCACCATGTTTCACCATAAAAATGTTGGATTTAAGAGCATCAAAAATAAATGGATTGAAGTGATACGGATAAAAATCCCAAAAGTGCTAATTCAACCAACAAAACAGGGTTACAAAGTGGGATAACAACATGATAAAGTTATGGGGCTAGAAAACCTAGCATTACTGCCAAGCTACTACAGATGGCGCCGGCAGTGGTGCCTCCTGGAAAAAATCGATGGGCCCGGTAAATGACCAAAAGTAAGGGCCAAGGGCGCACGCCCCTGGAAAATCTGGGAAATGTAGGATGATCATCAAAACATACCCTCTGGTAATTTAACGTAGCTATTGAAAATGGCCATTTATAGTGGATTTTCCCATTAAAAATGGTGATTTTCCATAGCTATGTTAGTTTACCAGAGGGTATCTGAAACCATCAACCAGCTACGGTGCTTGGGAAAACATGGGAGACATGTCGCTGAATCCGCGCACTGAGATCTCTCATCTGGCTATATCCCGTCCTCGTTGGGTGGCACCAGGATCGCCCTGGCCTGGTATGATGAAACGGAGGCTGCTGGAAATGTTTGAAACTCACAAATCCAGCACCTTTGGCTCTGAATTCTTGGAGATTTCAAGACTTTTGTCCTGGACAAAAGTATCCCCGAAAAGAATCGTGTGACAATATGATTATGGCATGTCATGTATCTATGTATATATATATATATTATTTATATAGTATTATATATATATGTGGTTCTTCCACAGTTTCCCTGAAACAACGTCTAGAAATGGCCCGGCGCTGTCCCTGGAGTCCCCGTGCCTTCCCGCTGTTGGACGCTGCCGCTGCCACCGCCTCCGGCAGTGGCTCCGCGGCCGAGGCCGGCGGCGGCAGGGGCGCAGCGGTGGAGGTTGGGGGTGCCTGCGGCCATGGATCCATCATGGATCCGTCATGGCCAGTTGATGCAGTTTACCCTCCAACATTTACCCTCCAACATGACAGAAACATGTCCTTTACAACATTTACAATAACACTAACATATCTAACATGATATGCCATAGCATAACAAAAAATGACATAACTATGGAAAATCGCACAAGTTCATAGCTAAATCGTTCGTACATTTGCAATCTTCAATAGTGATGTGGAATTACCAGAGGATGTGTCAGTTTGGAGACGCAAAAAATCGACTCTTGCCTGACCTGAGCAGTTAGTATGATTGTGATTACGCCAATCATTCTTGTCACGGGTTACTCAATAAAAGGAGGGTTGATGATTAGGGGGAGGGATTCACCAAATTTTCAGAACCACTGGGTGCTGTCTGAGAGCTGGCATGAACCGCAGAAATGGAGGTTGGAAGATGATTTTCCACCATTGGAAATGGATGGAAATGGCGGCCATGGCGATTCCATTGTGACTTTCCGGACTAGAATTCTCCGCACATGGCAACATATGGTGCCTCAAAAGCCACAAGAAGACTTGACCAACTTGCACTGATCACTTGATGTCAAGATTTGATATAATGTCAACCCCGGATGAATAAACCATAGTGTATTAATTAGGGGGGTACTCCTCCAATAGTCATAATCTAATACTTAAATGGTACCCTCCCAATTAAACAGCCCAGGGGTTTACTAATCCAGGGTTGACATTATTTGATACTCCCGAATAAGAAAAACAGGAGGAATGCCAGTTGATCATGAAACTCATCAATCTGTAGGTCTTTGAACAATAGGAAAGTCATTCAGATCCGAAGCACTTAACGGGAAAATATGGAAACAACCAAAGAATTGATGATATACCAGTTATACAAATCTATACCATGATATACCCATTCTAGCCCCATAATTCTTGGTGATTACCAGTTGGCAATTCAACATAGCTATGGAAATCACCAAATTCTTCAAAAATACTTCGCCAGTGTTTTCGAAAAAAATGGACCATAAGTTCATCCATTTTCCGCTATGATCAATTCCCAGAGGGTAACCCGGCCGTCAAATCCCCCGTTCTGCACCGCCTCTCTGGAGCTTGCCACGGATGCCGATGCAGCCGATGCAGCCGATGCAGCTGATGCAGCCTCAAAGCAGGGTGAACATCTCCACTTGAATCTGCCGATGGTTGAACCCCAAATCATCACCCTTGGGTGAATCCCAATTCAATCCCAAGTTTTCTTGGCTAAATTCCGTTCAATCGCATGAAATCCCATGAAATCACCACTAAATCCCATTAAATCACATTTTGTTCTATAGAAATCCCCATTTTTTCCATAGAAATCCCCATTTTTTCCATAGAAATCCCCATTTTTTTCCCACTAAATCAGCAGATCCCCACGACATCCCCATGAAATCTCCACGAAATCGCCAGGCACCGCCACGTTTCGACATTTCCAAGGCACCGCCAGCAGACCCAGCGGAGCTGCCACAGTTTCTGCCACAGCAGCCTCGCCCTAGGGCATGGAGATAGATGGGATATACCATATAAAATTGATATAATATTATATAACATGATATAATATAATAAAATATAGTATAATATAATATAATATAATATATTGATGTTATATATATATATATATTGTATAGTATTTATATATACATATTAATCTAATGTGAGCAACCCAATGCCATAAACCTACCATGACTGGGGATGGCAAACATGGCGCCCATAATATGGTGATGACTTAGGGATGGTTTATGGCATTGGGTTTACCACGTAATACATTTTTGTCTATGTATTGTTTCTATATATATATATACATATGTATATCTATAATTATCTATATATATATATATAGAATATACATCGCATGATGTTCTATTATATTGTATACATCTATTTGTATATATGTAAATATATATATATATGACAGATGGTGTATTCCCCAAATCTCCAGTTTAATAGGAACAGTGATAGTCGACCATTGAATTTTGGGGTATTCTACTTTCAGACAACCAATATTTTAATTAGCATTCTTAGGGAAGGTCTTGTAAGTTCATTGTTACGTTTTGGGTTTTTCATGGGGATTAATTAGAGTAATCATTTATGTTGTAGTGGAGCTAGATAAATAGGGACAGGAAACAGCAATATGATGTGGATATAGATGGAATTCAGCAAATAAATCTGACATTCTTAGTATAAATATGTAGGATGGGTTATAGCCCAGAAAGCGACGAACCATTCTTCACAAAATAGAATGTGACTTTAGCGAAACTTTCGCGAACTCCAAGTTTATCCTTCGCGGGACCCACAGTCTGTTATTGAAGACAGGACACATTCACTACCTGCCAGATTGTTAGATTTACACTTAGACTAGATTTGAATTAGATTTACTGTATCTGTATAGATCAGATTCCGACTAGTTTTTGGAGTTGGATTTAGATATAATATATATATATATGTGTGTCGTATATGTACATCTACCTGGATCTTCAAACTACACCTTTTCTGCTCATAGCATTTGTATCCTGATGGAGGTGCTGTTTGCCTCAAAATGCAGGGTGTGCAGGATACTACATACCACAGCTATCCACAGCCAAGTTGATCTCATGAATCACTGATGTGAGATCAAACAGTGATGCCGTAGAAACTGATACGGCAAACGAAAATACAATGACATGTGACTATATGTATATGATATGATTAGTATAGAATACTATACTAAAATATATTTGTCTTTAAACCCCATATCAATGAAGGGGCTGGCGCGAGTTGGTGCAAGTGAACGAAAGAAGAAAAAAAAAGTACTTCCGAAGTACTTCCCTAAGATATACCACCCGGTAATTTAACAGGTTTCCACGATAAAAATAACAGGCACAAATTACAAGAGGGATCCAGAGGGTATACAGGGTCAATGGATGGGATTTACCTGCCATTGCAATTTCACTGGGAAGAATAATGATAAACCTTGGTTTGAAAAAAAACAACTTCATAAATAATGTTCCTATTAAAATCCCATCTGAGGATTTCCAATTGCTGACACCAGAGGCTCCTGTAAACCAACACTGTGGAACAAAAAAAACAAAAAAACATTGTTTGTACCCTCTGGTAATTTAACGTAGCTATGGAAAATCACCATTATTAATGGGTAAATCCACTATAAATGGCCATTTTCAATAGCTATTTTGACATAACCAGAGGGTAGATCATTATCCCAGGCTAAAACCGCGTTTCCCCATGACTCCCGCCTCAGAGCTGCTTCCTGAACTGCTGCCGTCTTCGAAACCCAACATGGACTTCGTGGCTTTCAGGCTGGCCACGGTCACAGCTCCCGACTGGGACCCAGCAACGGGATCCTCCATACCTGCCACGTGGCTGATTGGCTGATTTTCCGGGAGGGCAATGATCATTTACTAACTGGAGTCATTGATGATCTTTGTATAATCATCTGGTTGGTGGTTGACCTACCCCTCTGAAAAATATTGGTCAATGGGAAGGATTATCCCATATACTACGGAAAATAAAAAATGTTCCAAAACCACCAACCAGTAATTGTATGACAATTACAGGTGTGTGTAAATAATTCATTCTATAAAGATTATAATGATGTAATTGATGAAATACATGTAAACAAGTTGTGTGAAGTATATAAATGCGTAAATGCAACAATTGTACCGGATGATGGTAATGATAAATGGTAGACAAACTTGCTGAATTAACAATAACTGACTAAGTGATGTTGAACAATCTGGCTGAATTAATCGTAACTGATGTTAAACAACCTGGTTGCATAAACGGTAACTGATGCCAAACAATCTGGCTGAATTATATAATGGTACACAGGTACCAGTAACCAATGTTCAACAATGGTAGTTTCCCAGAATTGGCTGGAGGGAGGAGAAAAACATGGTTTGTTGTTGCGAATGTTCCAATAAAGCAATCCAGAGATAGTTTGTGGTTGAGCTACACTGAGTCTTCCTGACTCCATGACTGGATAATTCATCTACATCATTTTATGGCCTCATATAGTTACTTCAATGAAATTTTCCAATCAATCTGTAATCAATCTAAATCACGTTCTATATCATAATTCGTCATAGTCTACCATAGTCAACTCTCAAACCTTCTTTGGCCATCTTTGGTCGCTAAAATCATGATCCAACCATATCCAACCAGCAACATCCAATAGCGGCAGAAAACATGAAGCTCTTCACCTCATCAACCCACCAGTTTCGTTGGCTTCCCTTCCCCATGACGGATCCATGGTGCTGGTCTATATGCTAACATTTGGGGTATATTGATGGTAAATGTTACCATATATATATAATATACATGGATCCTATGGGTTCTGAATCAGCATCCCCATGACTCTCCATTTGGTGCCCCATCCCAGTGTGGTCCCGTGGTCCCATATTGAGCCGACCCCATTTTTTTGTTCGTCAGTTGGAATGATATAAAATTCCCAACGGAATGGAAAAAAAACAAATGTTCCAAAGCACCAACCAGATATAATATACTAGGAAAGTAATCTGATGTATGCCTTTTAACCATTAGTTTCCTATTAAACATCACCAATAGTTTAGATGATTTTGCGGCCCCCAACTTTTCAGAAATACCAATACATACCAATATAGTCTTGTTGGTTAATATCCATTTGGCTTGAATTCCCCAGTTCTCTAGTTTGTCTAAAAATAGGCTACCCCCTACGGATCCTACGGTGAAAACCTCATGTTTCCTATTTAGATCCCTGAAAATGCCCGGAAAATGCTGGTAAATCCCTGAATTTGTTGATTTGTTCCTATGATAAAATGGACATTGTAAATGGGTAAATCCATGTAAATCATCCATCTAAATCCCCCATGAAACACATCAAACACAGCCTTTTCGCATCGCTTCATAGCCTGGAATGAGATCCTCCGCATCGATGTCGATGTCGAAGTCCGACTCAGAGGCCTCCACTTCCGCGGACCCCGCCACAGGGTCCGGGCCCACGGAGCTCGAGGTCGCGACGTCCATGCCGGAGTTGGCCATGCCGGGACTGCTGTTGGGGTGACCCAGGTGGCTGGTAGGTAGACCATGGTAGACCCTAAAAATCATGGAAAGATATTAGAATTTATATATATATATTAGAATTACAAGAATTGAAGGGCTGTTGAGCTGAAAAACCATTGACCCATGCCCAAAGGCAAAGGCCAATTGGCACCTGTGACCTGTTATCGGCTATCATGGGGGTGGGGTACACCACCCGCTGGCGTAGGGGTGCGGCTGAAGGAGAACTATTGCGGCTGAGCACAAACTCAGCTCTTCCACCTTCTCAGGAAATTGACTGCAAAAATTGGGTGTGGGGAATTGATTGGCCTTGGTATTTCAATGGCACAGCTCTCTTTCCATCAAGCAATGTTTGAGCAAATTTCCGGGCAGCGGTGCTGGAAAATCAGCATTCATTTCACCCGACTTGGCGTCTGGGACCATCGTGCTTTGGGAAATGCAAAAGAAACAAATGAGACCGGCATCTAGTTGAATGACCTACTTAAAAAAAACAAACAATTGTAATTCAATGATCAGTCCCCACTGTCAACAGGCTAGGAGTTGTTGCTAGCGACAACCATAGAATGATGAAGCTGAACCTTTCACATCCAACTCTGCGGTTGGAAACAGAAATTTCACGGTGAACGCGCCCCGCTTGTGCTGGATAACCGACTTCGGAGGACCTTAAAAAGGCCATCATGGTGGATGACAAAGTTGCCAACCCCAACTGCTTGCATCCAATAGTTCCGTTGTAATAAATAACATCCCCACAGGCTGCAAGTGCCGGCTGGTAGCCTCATGACTTCTGCTTGTCTCTCCAGTCATGATAAAATTCCAATTGTTCGCTGCTCAATATCTCAATAGACCCAATTAATTTGAGTAGATCCCTATTGTTGTTGATGAAAAAAAAAACATCGGTTCATAAATTAGCGAATTTCCCTATTATTATAGGCAAAAATCCTCAAACATCTACATTTTGATGGGTAAACATCTCCACTCCCAGCAGCATTCTCTGGGCCTCAGCTCAAGGTTTGGACCCTTCGCAACCTGGACGAATTGACCCTGCTGTTTTGGTCATCTATAAACCAGAGGATTTTCCAGCCAGTCATGGTTGTTTACCACAGGTAAACAGGGTGAGTTCAGCAATTTTGCTGGGATTCCAAGGCTGGAAGTGGCAACAAAATTAGTGAAGTGAACCAACAAAAGGATCCAGCACGCAGCAGGAATAGAGGAGGCAACAAAATGACATCACCCCAGCTCCCATAGGTATTATTAGTTTCACCCCCTCTCAATGGCAACGAAATCTGAGACATCCCCACGAGACATCCCTATCCCCAGTAAATTTCCAGATAGCCATGGCTTTTATGCCGCGAATTTCTATGGAACTCAATGGGCCATGGCTTGCCGCTATGCGAAAAATTACCAGAGAGGGTATCACTTTGGAGACGCCAAGATTCCCCGATTCTTGTCTGACCCAGGAGTTTGTATGATTGTTATTACGCAAATCATTCTTGTTAGGGGTCACTCAGTCACAGGCAGAGTTACGTATTTCACCAGGGAAGAACCATTGGGTACTGTCCACAAGGCATCTCCAACTGAAGTCCTGAACTATGTCAACTATGTCAACTATGTCATTCATCCGAGAGGAAAGTTGACATAGAAAACTATAGTTGTTGACATCGGTACTGTCATTTTGTACTATATCAACTTTCCTATCCCATGTTTGATGAAAATCGCATCTTTCCCCCATGAAAATCTCGGAACTGAACGGAACCCCGACGCAAAGAGGTGCTGATGTTGTGACGGCGAGGTGGCCTCAGCGAATTGGTTTTCCCACCACACAAATCAACAAACGCAGCAAAGATCAACAGGAATCAACCAATCAATGTTGATTCATGGATGTATATATTTATTTCTTTATTTATTTATTTATTTGTATGTATGTATGTATATATAGCCAAAGAAGTTTGAGTGGGGAATCATCACTCCACATAGATCGCAAAAGCCCAAGTTGGGCCCAAAACAATCGGGAAACCAACCAGATGGCGTTACAGTGCCATGGACCCACCTTTAGCGGGACTGGAACTTGACCATGGGCTGCATTTGGGTCTGCCCAAAAATATGATATCTATCCCAAATCCCATGTTTTATCATCATTGTACATATATCTATCTATCCATCCATCCATCTATCCACCCATCGATCTAATCTATCTAATCTATCTAATCTATCTAATCTATCTAATCTATCCATCCATCCATCTATCCATCCATCCATCTATCTATCTAATCTATCTAAGCTATCTAATCTATCTAATCTATCTAACCTATCTAATCTATCTAATCTATCTAATCTATCTAATCTATCTAATCTATCTAATCTATCTAATCTATCTAATCTATCTAATCTAATCTAATCCAATCCAATCCAATCCAATCTAACCTAATCTAAGCTAATCTATCACTCATTGACTCATTGTTCCAATCAATAGCTATTTTGGGGTAAACCCTATTTTCAAACAAAGCCGTTTCACTTAAAATTCCCCAAGGAGTGTTGGGATGTTCTTCCCAGGCGGTTGGTTTTTGGTTGAAGGGAACCCGAAAAAGGATGGGGATCAGAAAATGGTACCCCTCCATGTATATCAATAATCAATAAACAAATGGTTGATGTTCATACTCAATCGGCATTATCCAATCGGTACTTTAAGTACTATGTATGTATAATAGAACCCAGTGGCAATGCCAAGTGAAATTGCCAGAGGCTACTGCTCTTTGCAATTCAAGTTACAACAACTCTAGCCCCAGGTACCTGTACGACCAGTTGTACATGTCCCGTTGATTGGAGTAATAACGTGAACTTTATCTTCATATCCACCTGAAGTCAGACGCGGCGCAACGTCAGGGTTGCAGCGTACATGTTTATACCAAGATTCCATTCATAGTCCACTAATATTCCATGAATGTTCCATTCTCCCACCACTTTTTTCATCTCAACCTGAACTCACGGCCCCTCGGCCAGCCACCCAAACGCCATAGAGTGCAGGAGCACGGCCGCATTCGCCTGAAAATTTGGATGATCCAATAGCGATTTTCAGAAACTGGTGTACTTCAGACAAAGCCACATGTTCCAATGAACCAAATCAGTGTCCAAAGTATGTAATGTTCATAGCAGCATTCATAGCATGTACATGTTCCATCTGTAAACTTCCAATATTTACATTTTCCGAAGATATTCTGTCCAGATCCCAATGGCTTAGAAAGAGCAGAAAATGTAACCCGCTTAGGGGTTTCAAGCCGCCTGGGAAATATTTGTCATCTTGGCTTGGATCGTCATGCCATGATTGAGGGGAGTGCGAAAATAATATCAAGAAAACCACCAACCAGGGGTGTAAGGTTTTGCAATTGATCTGGGGTCTCTGCAAATGGATTCTTGGGTCTTTCCAAATATTTTATATATGGTGGAATTGACTTGTATTATAGGTACCTTATTATGGCCAGACCCTCACTTGCGCACCCGAAATTTCACTCACTTACGCACCCTCACTCTCTTGCGCACTCAGTGAGCAAAATGTCACTCACTTGCGCACCCTCATCATCTCTCATTCTGGAAATAGTCACTGCACTTTCATCATTGTTCGCTGTGGGGTGCGGTGGGGTGGGGTGGGAAAAAAACGCTCATGTTCCTGTGCACACACAGGCACCGCAACTCATCATCTTTCCTGCTCTCGCACAGACACAGCCACTGCTCTATCATGATCAGTTGCCAGTGGGGTGGGGTGGGACAAGAACGTTCTTCTGCTCTCGTGCACACATAGGCACAGCAACCTCATCATCTTTCTTGCTGTCCGGCAGACAGGCACTGCTCTTTCATGATCAGTTACCAGTGGGGTGGGGTGGGACAATAACGTTCATGTTCCTGTGCACTCACAGGCACAGCAACCTCATCATCTTTCTTGCTGTCCTGCAGGCACTGATGCTGATGGTGGTGCTGTGGATGAGATCATGATGATGATGATGATGATGATGATGATGATCCCCATGATAATGATCATGATTTTCATGGGTGTACAAGCGAGGGAAAAGGTGGGTGTACAAGCGGGTGAAAATCGGGGTGTACAAGCGAGTGGTCGTCCCCTTATTATTTCCCCATGGTCACTCTTTTAGTCAAGTACTAAATTTGCCCATTAGTCAAGTGTATCATCTTACCATTGGTTATTTAATGTATCTATGTGTTTTCTACCATGCTCATTGGATAATCAAGTGTACATTGTTATTTTCACTCTTAGGCAACCAAGTGGTTGATTAAATTGATATCATCCCAGTATCGGTTACGATTATTTTTTCTATCATATTCTTTGGATAAACAGGGGTCCACCACCATTTCCCTTAAAGGGTACCCGACAAATTGCTGGACTAAAATGGAATAGGCATCATCCCTTTATAGGGTATGTACTATATCTATTTGTTTCAACCACGCTCATGTTTCTTCCAGGGCGGTGCCCCCATATACCTTTGGTATCCTTTGGTATAAAGCCACCAATATTATCCCTGATGATCACTCTTTTAGTCAAGTACTAAATTTCCCCATTATTTCTACGTCTACATGATATATCCTTTAAATGCAATGTCCAATTATGAATTTTGCCGAACTCAGGGTGCAGAAATCTGCACCTTGATTTAGATGTTTTTGACGATATCCTAGGTGCTTGGTGGGGTATTGCCTAAGTCAACGTAGACTTTGGCAATACAGAGGTTGTACCCTGGGATTCTCTAAATCATTTACAGTAGGAAACAAAAAGCCGATATCAGGGTGCAGAAATTTGCATGTGGACTTAGGAACCAGCCTTACTATATTCTACCATGATTTTTCCCGCAATGGATTCGGGGTCCTTCATTTTGAGATTTAGGCAAAAAAAAAAGCCAATCTTTTGGCTCGGGGGACCCCCAAAGCCATCGCCACCGCAAATCCGTCGCATAACAATATTTTATTTTATATTTTATCTA